TTAAAAACTGTCTTCCTAGGATTTTAAAGAATGTTAGCTTTACTTGTATTTCAAACCTAAAACTAGTAAAATTTATCTCAAACTTATTGTCAGTACCTAGTAAACTGTTGTAATAGGCTATATTAATTTGAACGATGGTGTTTTTGGCCTCTGGGGACCTTAAAACGAAAAAGTAAATCGGTCCCGGATCTAGGTCTTACCATGAGACCTGCGGTAATAGCTTATTCCCTATATGGGAAATTTGCCAAAAAAATCCGATCTTCAAAAATACGGATTAATTTATTTTGATTAAAATTTAGTACCTATGGTCTTTATGATGAAAAAATGGTTAAACCCTCATTGATGTAAAAATTAAGGTTTTAAAGTTATTGCAACTTTTGTGATTTTCCCAATATCATAGTTACTCCCACTGCTTACCCTTAATAAAGGTGGTTGAAAAGCTTAAGTAATAGAAGAAAGTATGCCGTGTCAGATTGCTGAAACCATTTATTTTAAAACAACGTAGGCTTATAAGAACATAATTACTTCGATAAGACAAATAAAAACCAACTTATAGTGTACTATTTTCAGGTGAATATGGTTGCAAAGGTTTTTTTTAACTAGAGTGAGATTATCTGTGTTTCTTTGTTACTGACTAAGATCAGATGTCTCCACATCCAGAACAATTTTTTTAAAGTTCATTGATCGAGATCGGACTGAGTTAGAACCATGCAAGCATATACAGTAAGTAATTTTTCAAAGGTTATAAATTTCTTGTAACATGAAGCAACAACACAGTAGGAATATCCATAGTGCCACTAAAACTGTTTTATTAGGTACTCTAACAAATGACTGACGTAATTTTAACAAAGCACATGAAACATATAGCCTAATTTGCTCTTTAACTCTAAGTGGTCCACTTTACTTGTGGTGGTGTGGTCACTTCACACATCTAACGGGCCTGTAAACACCACTTCAAACACTTTAACTGCTCTTTTAGGAAAAAGAAACTTAAAAAAAAATATTGTGAGCTGATTATGATCAGAACAAGTTCTCAAGTGTGGTAGGAAGTACAAATAACACTGAAATGATGTGTGTTGTGTGTAGCCAAGACAACACTTGGTGTAGCTTATATCCTAATGTTTATTACAAAAATTTTATTTTAACTGGAACTTTAAACATCCTAATTGTTTAAATACTATTTTATATAGTTTATTAAGTAACAGATTTCGAAATAAAAATAATTCATACCTGATGAAGCAAAGCATTAGATGGAAAATGTGCTAAAAGTAAAAGTAAATATGACAAGAAGGCTTACTGTTACAGTGAAGAATTACTGTTATTTATATGTTTGACAAAGAGCTTAATATCAACAAACTGTTGTGTAAGTCAGTGACATTCCTTAGACACCAATATAAAAACATGTTATACTGTAACTGTGTTAATATTAAGTAACAAACACAATTATTCCAAAGTATATCTGAAGCTAAATGCTGTGTTTTACATGTTTCAGTAGCCACTGTCATTCTCGTAAACATTGCTAATGCAATTTTTGTCCACTTTGGACTTCGATTAAAATGATTAGATTTTTTTTAACGCGTAGCAAGGATTAGGGTAACGGAGACAACATACTATAATTCATCTACCAAAATAACCACACAAAAACTACTATTAAGTTTTAGTTTCATTAGTTTTTTTTTTATTTGTTGGATGATTTTAGATCATGTGTGATAAGACTAACTGTAATATTAAATATTCTAGATGAAACAATAATGCACCTATCAGCATTTATCGTCTTTATAATCAATATCCAATCGTCAATGTAGGATTGATATTTACAGTATATCTGTTCGTAGATATATAGTACTGAATATATGTACAATATTTTTAGGATATTGCATCTAAACATTATGTAAATATCTACTTTTATATCTATTACATATCTATAGAATATCTTAACAGATATTTTACAGATTTCTTAGATAAGATATTTTAAAAATATATTTAATTACATTTTGAGATCTTTAGACATATTTCAACCACTTTGAATATTCAATGGATATCTGGTGCTGTTAGGGGATAAACTTAATTGCTGCTTTAATAGCATTAAAACTTGACATAAATCTTATGCAAAACTTAATCTTTATTTTTATGGACTTTCAGTTGCTAATTAGCATTATTCCACCCAAAGAAACTGAGTTATTGATTGGTTTAATTAATTACATTTTAATTAACATGATATAGAGATTAGCATTTTTATCAGATTGTGATCTCATCAATGATGGTCTTCATCTATATCTCAATCACAATGAAGACATTATATTAACAGCTGCAATCAGATATTTATGATTCTGAGTTGCATGGTGAGGAAAAATCAACCAAGAACCAATCTGACAAGATTCGATTGAAAACCGGTTCTTTTCACTGTCCAAATGCAAGCAACCTGCTTGAAACACATTTATTTTTTACTAGAACTACTTTCCTTTAATGAAAGATAGACTTGATTTAAGAGATCTTTTGTTTTCCATCAAGATTATTAAAAGGTATGATTATTATTTAGAACCATTTTATCATCTGCAAACACTTAATATTTATGTGGTTAAACTTGTGGACAAAGTTTAGAAACAGAGTTATTATATTATAAGAATTCATTATTTAAGTGACCATTTTTTTTTTATTTAGTAAGATATCAAATAATGCTTTGCTATTTTAATTTGTTATTCATCGTATCTTAAATGTAAAATTTTGATTTGATCATCCGATCCCTCATTGCTGTTTATATTCTTTGTTATCATATAATATCCAACATAAAATGATATTCCCCATTATAAATTTCATTATTGTTGTGATAATGGTTTTTATTGAGAAAAAAAACTCAAAATTATGTTTAGCATAGATATTGAATTAAATCCATGTTCCAGTAAATGTGTATGCTGATTTCATCAACTTCATTTCTGTTGAATGTGTATGATGAAATTACATCAGTCTGTTAAATTTTATAAAATTATCTAATCATTAAAAATGTTAGCAAAGAATGTTTGAATTGTTACTGTGGCCATATAGACAAATTAATACATGTTTTCTGTTAGCTTTAGGATTAAAATTATTTTTATAGTTCTCTAGGCGTTTGAATGAATACCTGTGAGTTACTTTATACTGTTATTTTTAACAGTACTTATAGATTCAATCATGCCAACTATAGGAAAAAATCACCTAGATCTTGTAACATCCATAAAAGAAAACAATGCCGATTGAAAAATTAAAAAAAATTACCAGTAGCAACACCAATGTTTTTTATATATTGTCAATGTTTTCATTAGTCAGCAACGAGCAACTCTTGGAATGTTTTATTCACATGTATCTTATTGTTACATAGCTAAAAACATTAGGGGCAACAAAAATGTTTTTTTCTCTCACACTATTGGACAAAATTTTAACTTATAGCTAATATTAAACCAGAAATCTGTTCTCAAAACATCAACAAATCATCAAGGTCATGGAAAAGATATGGGACAGGCTAAACTTCCTAAACAGAATATGTTCTAAACCCATCTAATTTATGATCAACTAACATAGCATAGATAAGATATGGGACCTTTAAACTGATAAGGCCTGGTCATGTTTTGTTGTGGGTGGAATGTAGTGGGGATTTAGTGATAAAAGATGATAGTATTAAACTACAGTAGACCTAGGACTTGTGCCAGATCAAACTTAGCCTTGGCCCACAGAGGAGAGATTCCATGGTCAGAACTTCTGTATAAAGTTGTGAGTCAGGTTTTCATCTTTTATGTATTTTGTTCTCACTTTGTGTGTCTTTGTTGTTGTTTCTTGATGTAAAGCTATATAGACATAGACATTCTTTATTCCACAGAACATTTCATATATACATGTAATAACATTAGAATATGAGCATTGTCAAAATTAACTCTATACAAAAGATTAAACATTGAAACCAAACTTAAAACCAAACAGAGAAATAGATTCCAAATTAAAGCGGTGTAAAAAATCTTCAATGGAATAAGAAGCTTTGTCAATGAGTAAATTATTAATTGTCTTTTTACATCTAATTAAAGTCAAATATTTTTGTTTAGAAAATTATCACATAATGTATTGCTATTTCATATTGAATGTTGAATTATAATAAACATCTTATTAACTACTTAAATCCAATTTTAAAATAAAATATTATAACTGTAAAATTTAGTCTTAAGTGTGCTGATTTAAATTACTGATTTCTGTGGTTCATAAGCATGGACAAAAAGAATAATTAAATATAGACTGTCAGCCATGCTGTGGTTACCATAGTTTCTGGGGAACACCGCTGGGAGTGCCGTGTAATTACGTAGCGCATACGCCGTAACTTCATGGCGCTCCCAGCGGTGTGCGCCAGAACCTATGGTAACCGGGCGGCTGACGGTCTACATTTAATTCTCTTTGTCTATGATATAAGTTACCAAGCAAGTCAAACTAAAAGTACAATTTATAGGAGCTACAGCTTCTTTTATGTCACATCAAACATCATTGTATTGACAACTATAGAATTTTACAGAGTTTTACAGTAGCACACTCACTGTGAAAGGATCACTCAACTGATCTCTTAGAGGAAAAAATAAGCTACAGATAGTCCATAGGTGGGGTATTATTTCTCCTTCAGTATCCAAAGAGTATGTTCTGTCGGCTCAATTATACCCTTATAGATTGTTGTCAGTGGAAGTTTTTACTCATGTGTCCAACGTATAAGCCATTGCAGCTCCAAGAGATTGATTGTTCCCAGTTGGGATAGTCGTAAATTTCAGTTTGGGAATGCTTGCCATTACCCCGGGATAAAGAGTGTTGCAAAGCAGAGTGGGGACGCCGTTCCCACAAGTTCCCGCTCTACGGCACCACTGATTGTTCCTGCCTCTGTGATTAAAAATAAGGCCATTCAAATATTAGGTTGTAGCTACATCTGTCTCATCTACATTTTTCTTTTTCTTTCAAAAAGTTATACCATCGTCTGACTTTTAGTCTGTCTGTTGCAGAGTGAATCACCATGTCGCTATTAGCGGAATCACCGAATGCCAAGCTGAACAAGACTGTTCTGGACAAGTTCCTCTCTCTGCCACAGCCCGACAACAAGGTTCAGGCGGAATACATCTGGATTGATGGAACCGGAGAGTCCCTCAGAGCTAAAACAAGGACTCTGGACTTTACACCCAAGAGTTTGTCAGGTGAGAAGTGATGGGAGTAGTGAATCATTAACTATAAGACACTTTTTAAAATATATTCATTATTTTTTTAGATTTAATGGGGTGATAGCTTCACTGAATAAGATCAGTAACTGGGTCTTTAACCAGGAAAAACTATCAAAAACACATGATCAAGCTGGGCCTAGTTAGTTTTCAACCATCAAAAACCTATTGACTTTTTACAGGGTTGAATTGACCCCCTGATTACTAGTTGAGCACTACTTAGCTACCCAGCTACAAGTGCCCATCGCAATAGACTACTATTCTGTGTGATTATCCAGAGATAGTGAAGTACTCTGACATAAGTGTCACATATGGGCAAACCAGTAGTGAGTTTAGTGATAAGATTGTGTCTAAAAGCAGCATTGTCAGCCTTATCAGCCCTAAAAGCTACCATGAGCAGGTGCAAAATATGTTCACAAATAAGTTCTTAACATTATATTTTACACCATAAAATTTCCAAAATGTATTTTTAGTGTGTCTCTTATCTCTAAACAAAAATGGAAATGTTGTATGCAGTGGTGTAGTTAGATGATGTTCCCATACTTTGATTTTTCAAAAAATCTTATACAATAGAACCTCGATAACAATTACCTGGTAAGACCCCTCGATAACGTAGTTATCAAATTCCCTTGAATTTATTTTACCTCTAATCACATGCCAACCTCGATAAGAAGGCAACCATTTAAAATCCCCATGAGAGTCTTGTTATCAAGATTCTACTGTCTATCAATAGACAATGTGTTTTTTTCTGAGTTGATGGTGAGGATTATCGCATTGGAAAATTTACTACTTCACCATTGGTTGTATGCCTTCCGTATTTCTATATTTTTGTAAGGGACCAATCTGAACTCTGTTCTCATTATGACTTTGACGTCTTGTCATAGAAATCATTGGACAGTTTGTTATAGTCAAGTTGTATAACGGTACAACAAAATAGGGATAGCACAAGTCAAGTACTGTATGGTAAAGCAGCAAATTTAAATCCGCTTTTATAAAAATACCTGCAAGATAATATCACATCATATAACATATTTGTCTTCTTCGAGCTTATTAGTTCTCTAGTTGTTTATAAGATGTATAAACAAGATACTTTTCTGCTTACCGGGACCAGATTTTTCTTACCAGACAGCTTGGAAAATATCAAACAAAACTATCAACATTGCCAAGAAATATAACAATATACAACTGAGTTCATTAAAAACTAAATACTGTGTTTATTTTTCTCAACACTATAAGAGCACAGCTTAACATGGTGACAAACAAATGCTTAGTATTCTGACCCCATAAGAATGTGATCGCAAGCCAAGACTATTGTAAACAGCTAGACTGATACTGATGTTTGTTGTTAGTGGGTGAGTCAGAGTGTATTGTCTACTCAATAATGTATTCCAAGCCCTTCACCTAGAAATGTGACCTTCAAAATGTAAACAACATTTACAGAGGTGGTTTGATCACTCAGAGTAACAGGGTTTTGCAAATTCAGTTCTCTTCATAAATAATTTAATGAAGAAAATAAATATTTTTAGTTCTGTAAAACAATTGTTATAATTCACCCCATTGGGGTATTGTAAGTTGAAGAGACAGGAGCATGGGCATGGTTTATGGAGAGGTTATGTATTAATTTACACCAGCATTAGTTGTCAAAAAGCATTTTGGACTTGTAAGGAAAAGAGATTGTGCTTTGACAAAATATTTAATCCAGAAGTGTAGGCAAAGCTAAAGGCCTAAAGGCAAAGCTGGTGTATTTTGAAGAGTACGGAGTTTTGATCCGAAGGACCAAATCCTGCCAATCATCAAATGGATTTAAATATTTTATCTATGTGATAACGACTCTCTTGGATAGCCTGAAGGATGTGTAAACGGTTCCAGGCTGGAGCCTAGCATCCTCGTTTGTATATAAACTGTTGTAATGTCATTGTGATGATGTGGAGTAGTATGAGTGTATAAATGAAGATACCTGGGCCCTATTTATCTTTCTCTAACCACTACCAAATCACGCACATTTCCTGTCGTTACCCAACTCTATTGCATGGAAACTATCTAACTCGTCAAAGTGCACAATATTACCTTAGCTGCCTATCACAGCCAGCTTTTATGTTCTTTAATATATCTAATTATAATATAGTGAACAGAGAAATTTATATATATATATCTGGACTTATTCTAATTCGTAAAAAAAGTAACTAGATTTACCAAATGTGAATTCTAAATTTGTGAAATTGATTGCCAGACCACGACCATTTGAGAACCTAATAAATTACATAATTAAATTAAAATAAGTTTGCCCTGCCCTACACCCTTCCCCAACCCCTATATCTATTAGCTAGACATCTTATGCTACAACTACTTATCCGGTCAAGTTGTACAGCTCCAGGCGGTCGACACACACACTGTTCTACTCTCATCGCGCGTGCTTGCCGGGCCGACTGCGCGTGCCACCGTGTCACGTGACTTGCGCTACCTATTGTCTTGTAGCGAGTCGCTACATCATGTTCTATTACTTTCTTCTTTGTCACCCTGTAGTGAAGGGAAAATCAACTAGTAAGTTTCTAAATGTGTAATTTTGTTTCAGAACTACCAATCTGGAACTACGATGGCAGTTCTTGTTATCAGTCGGAAGGCAGCAACTCCGACACATACCTCTACCCCGTAGCCATGTACAAAGATCCCTTCCGCCGAGGAAACAACATCCTGGTCCTCTGTGAAACATACAAGTACAACAAGAAACCCACAGGTAAAATATAAAAAAATGCAAACATTCCTGACTACAGCAATTAAGGCGTATTTATACATTCAAAAATAATAAATACATTTATTAATTTTCTAAAGGCCAAAGATTTATTAGTCTTGAAGGGAAACCAGAGTATAGTTCTTTAAGGAACGAGCTGGTTTAGACCTCGGGAATAGACGAAAACTTGTAAATTTTCACTCTGTCTGTCCATACAGAGACTAATCATCGCCTCACTTGTGCTGAAGTGATGAAGAAGGCTGCAGATCAGAAACCATGGTTTGGCATTGAACAAGAGTACACATTACTGGACATGGAGGGAAGACCTTTTGGCTGGCCTAAGAATGGTTTTCCAGGCCCACAGGTAGGCTAAATGTTAAAAATAAAATCAATACTCTTAAGGTACGTTAAACAGCACCATTTTGAATTCAATGTGGGAAAACCCTGAAGTAATAAATTTACTAAGCCTTTTAAGAGTTTTGACAGTACTTTTAATACTTTCTTATTAAATGGCTACCATACAAGTAGGTATTTTAAGCCAAGTATGAATGGAGATGAGTGTAGGATGAGTGGCGCGATCTTGTAGTCTTGTTAGTGACTAAGGCCGACATTCGTTAGGCGCAGCTGTAGCTCTCGACCGTTTTAAGTTCGAGACAAAACTATCTCGAGCCGCAGTCTAATATGTGACCAAAAAAGTGGGTTTATCCTCAACCACTAGAAAGAGATACTGGTTCGTCAAAGCCTTGAAAAGATTTATGTGCATCCTCAAGAAAAAGTAAATACCAGCTTTGGAACACCTTTTTGTAAATCAGGGCATCATTTGTATGAAGTTTTTTTTTACTGATGCATGGTTATCTCTGTCTGGTTGAGATGGGTAATCATGATAAACATTTGAGAAACTATTGTCAGAAGAAAATTTCAATATGAGTTGGTCACTGTGTAAAAGCTACAATATCCACTTTGGTGGCAGACTCTGTTAAAGTCCAACATCAAGAAAAAAATTGGTTCTCAATTTTATTTCAAAGTGTGATGGAAAAACAGAGCTATAATTGTTTTTTAAGCGTGTCAAGTAGTATGTCAAAGTAAAAAAAATATTGAAATAAAATGAATTAGGTTATTTTTAATTATTGGAATTGTAATATTGTTCTGGATAAAACAGCTGATCTTATTAACAATGCAGGTTATAATTTGGTTGTAATATGCCTTAGTAGTGTATTAATCTCACAATATTCCCTTCCACTGCACATGAAAACTATCAGGTAAAAAGCTTTACATAGGTACTTTGCAACTGGCTTGTAATCATAACTAGTGTACCACACTATGCTAGGTGGCTGAGTGTTTAAAGTGTTCGCCTGACCATACGGCCGGATTTCCCAATAGGCCGGGCTTATCCATTATCCATAGTCTAAAAGTAACAGTGCTCATTAATCTATAACCTAAATACAATTTTAAAATGTAGGAGTTGTCTCAAACATTACAGCTCTTGAATTGATTGATGATACACATCAATGCTGTCAATTAAGTGCTAATCAGTGGGCCTGGTGGATGTATGATCCGAATAAGATTATATCAACCATAATTTATTGGCTTATTCATTCTTTTATAACAATTGAGTGATCAGATTTTTTAGGTTTCAAAATAAAAACAATAAATTTTATGAATATATCACAAATAAATTTATTAAGAAAAATTAATTTTAGTGAGCACAGTTTGGTCAGTTATGTTTTGTTGTATGGAGGAGTTTCCTATAAAAAAAATTATAAAATGTTATTATTACCCATGACAGATTTATTTTAGTAAGAGATTTCTTTTAGTAGATTTCTGATTTCTGATTATAAATTACCGGTAGTGTTTTAAGCTTTTCAGTTAGTTTTCATACATTTTATCCCAGATTGTAAGCATCGCAGTGAAAATCTACGCACACTGTTGGAAAGATATTTTTCTGTAGATTTGCACAGTCCCATTATAAATTAAAATAGGCAAAAAAATAAGCACATGACATAAATTTGATTAATTTGAAATAAAAAAAAAATTAACATGGGCCTTATGGGTTGCTATGCTGTGTCAAAATAAAAACGAAATATAAACAGAAAATCAAAACAAATTGAAGAAATTCCAATCACATGTTTTATTTAGAGTGTGGGGTGAAAATAGAGAAGCCTGAACATTACATATTTTTGGTTGAGTTTTCAACCACTTGACGACCTCTAGTTACAGATGAAACTAAGTTTAATTAACTAATATTGTGGAATGAATTATCTTGTTGAGCCCCACCCTTGACTTTCCACATAAGTTGCCACCCTTCTAATGATTTATGGTTAGTCCCTTGAGGGAATGTGACTTTACACTCCACGGTATGACTTACTCCACACAATACTAGCAATGATGATTAACTATTAATTCTCAGGAATCTAACTTAACTAGTGTCCCTGTTGCTCGAATTCGAGCAATTGCTAAGTATTCCAGGTGTTATTTTTAAACGAATAACAGTCATACTTTCTGATGAATTACAAAGATTCGACTCAAAGATTATGGAAATACTCACGATGTACATAACAGATTATATAATTTTATCAAGGCTCTCTCAATTTTTTCCATTGTAATATTTGTGCCAACCCAAATTAAAATGGTAAATATCTCAATTCAACCAAGTTAGTAAATGTTTGTAGCAAACTTATTGACTGTTTACAATTAACATGTTTTCTTCTTCTCACTTTTAATTTCTGTCAACAGCTGGAGTTTCATAACAATTTTTTCCCCATGTTAATCTTATGGAGAAATACGAAACTTTAAAGGGCCCCAGGGCCTAACTCTCTAATTATTTCCATAAAAAATAAAGTTCCATAAAGTAAATTTTATATACACATACAATTCCATTATGTCAAAAGGAAGGAAGGTTGCAAGCCCTAAGATGGATGAAAGCGGACATGAATGCTTATTGTCAATCGCCAACATTTCCTGTTAGCTTGGTTACACATATAAAACAATATTATCTCCAACAAATAGCTAGCAGCCATTGGCAGCAATGCAGATACTACTTTACCGGCTTGGCGGGGTATGCCAGTATCGGATTAAGACATTAACCATTTTCAACCCACAAGCAAAGAATTACAAAGCTGAAAACTCCTTTTAGTAAAATACAGGGAATAGGCCAAAATTTAACTTTAACAACAGTGTAAACTTTAATCACTACCTACTACCATTAAACAAATTTAAAATACGACAATTAATCATCTATCTGCTGCAGGGTCCCTACTACTGCGGTGTTGGAGCTGACAAAGTTTACGCACGAGACATCGTAGAAGCTCACTACCGAGCTTGCCTCTACGCAGGAATCACCATCTCTGGGATCAACGCTGAGGTCATGCCTTCACAGGTACACTGTCTTGTCGAATATGTGATTCAAAACATGATCAGATTGCCAATAAGAGATACTGTATTCAAAAGTTTGAACATAGTTGAATGAGCCCACTCGTAGAGTGTGCTGATGTTAAAGTTTGATTTTCTGCGTTAAGTTTTTTGCACTACATCATTTGATGTGAAATAAAACATCCAATAAGTAACATAACTAAATAAGCTTCAATAAACAACAAAATTAGAAATCCGAAATTCAACAAAATAAATTCAAAAAGGGCAATATGGCAGTGTGCTGTTCTTGTTCAGGAAGTGTGTGATGTGAAATTGTGGTACAAGTTTAAATCAATACTAGGGGCCCATAGCAGCAATTGCTGCCATTCGCCTCTGTTGTAATTTGGCCTTTTCCCTTTTTAACCATTCCCTATGCTGTGCACCATTCCTAAAAACTCTCCTTTGTAGTTGCAGTCTTCCCCTAACACGATACATTCCACCATTCTAACTACAAGTCAAGTCAAGTCAAATAAATCTTTATTCAAACATACAACAATGTGTACATGAATGCGTCTTAATCTTAAACTATAACTAATACTAAAACCATTTTCCTGATCCATTTTATTTTTTTTACATATTTACATGTTTATTTACATATTTGAACATAGTGCAGTAAATTCTTCAAAATTATAAAACTCTCCACTAATTAGAAAATTCTTAAGCCTTTTTTTGAACTTATTTCCGTTTTCCTCATTTCTGATGCTACAAGGGAGGGAATGAAAAAATTTAACCCCAATATAATCTGGGCTTTCTTTAAATTTTTCTTTTTTATGCTTTTTAATTATAAAATTGTGTTTGTGTCTAGTATTGTAAGTATGTACATCTTGCTGTCTTTGCAGTTGCGACTCCCGGCTTTTAACATATAATATAGTCTTATATATGTAGAGGCTGTAAACTGTAAAGAATTCTAATTCTTTGAAACGATTTTTACATGATTCATTTTCATTTAAATTAAGGATGCACCTTATGGCCTCTTTTTGTAAATGTAAAATTTCATTTAAGTTATATTTATTCGTTCCACCATAAATTTCAATGCCATAAGCAATATGGGAGTGTATATTTGAATAATAAACCACACGCAAAATTTCTTTACTGCAAAGGGGATATAGTCGTCTTAAAGTAAAAATACCGGAGCTAATTTTATTACATATTTTATTGACATGTGAGGTCCACTTTAGTGTACTGTCCAAGGTTAGACCTAAAAATTTGGTTTCACATGCAAAATTTTCAAATATCTTTTTGCCAGACTTTTTACATTCAAATTTGATAAAGGTTGTTTTGTTTTCATTAAGTAAAAGGTTTTTTTCATTTAGGTAATCTCCAATTATTTTGAGCGAATCTTTCATTTTTATTTCAAGAAGTTCAATATTCTTTTCATGTATAGACATACTTATGTCATCTGCATACAAGCAGAGGGCATTGTTTTCTACCCGTTCAGATAAATGTTTTAGCATCCCTCCCAAGTAGCACAGGAACAGGAATGGACCCAACACAGATCCCTGAGGAACAGAATACTTAACTTCCCTAACATTAGATCTAACATTGTACATCTTATTTCCATCTAAATACCCAATGTTAACAAACTGTTGGCGGCCCTCTAAATAAGATTTTATCCAGTCCAGTTCTTTACCACTAATTCCATATGCTCTGAGTTTTTGCAGTATAACTTTAAATGATTCACGCTATCAAAAGCCTTAGACATATCTAAAAAGGCGCCAACAACATAATTGTCCTCATCCAACTTATGTAATACATTTTCAATATAAGAAATTAGAGCTGTAGTAGTAGATTTATTTTTTCTATATCCATGCTGTTCTTGATCTAATAAGTGGTTATTTTCAAAATAATCTACTAGTTGAAAAAGTAAACTTTTTTCAAATAGCTTTGATAGAGCAGGTTGAATTGCCAATGGTCTATAGTTTTGCGGATCTTTTTTATCACCTTTTTTATATACTGGAATTATTTTTGATATTTTTAGTTGAGCGGGAAAAACGCCTGTTATTAGTGATGTATTAATCACATGTAAAAGTGGCTTTAACAAAACAGATTTTGATTCTTTAATAATTTTGATTGGAATTTCATCATAACCGGATGACCATTTTGGTTTTATTGAAAACAAACGACACTGCATTACCATTCTAACCATAAACCGGAACACTAAAATCAATAAACAAACAAATACGCAATGTTTTCATCAGCTGTTATATTTAAAACAGCTTATAGAAACACTGTAGCAGTACTTCCATTAGAAAATGACTGGATCTTAATTTGTACTCTAAATCTGGCTACAGCTTTACAGCTTTAACATTGAAATGGAATGTCTGATCTAGTGTGTATTTTTATTAATGTTCGTAGCCAACAGTGGAAGTTAATAGTGGCTCAATAATTAGTGTTATTTTCAAATACCATTGATTTTGTGAATGCCTAATCTCATGTTACTGCAAACCTCAATAAGACATCTACCTTGGTAACGTGTATTTAATTAACCCCAAAAGAGACCTGTTATCGAGAATCAACTGTACCCATAAATCCAATGTTGCAGATTAAACTGAATATAACACTATTGTACTGTTTCAGTGGGAGTTCCAAGTAGGTCCATGTGAAGGTATTTCCATTGGAGACGAGCTGTGGGTAGCTCGGTATTTGTTGCACCGTGTTGCGGAAGAGTTTGGCGTCTGTGTTACTCTCGACCCCAAGCCCATGCCTGGTGACTGGAACGGAGCCGGAGCTCATTGCAACTTCAGCACAGCTTCAATGAGAGTAGACAATGGAATCATGTGAGTTTAGATTGGTTTTTGAACATTTTAAAGTATTTTATTTCACATGAAGGTCATTGGAACAATCCTGAGGAAATTCAGTGGCTTTTGGATGGTTCGAAACTGCACACAAATAATGTCTTAAAAATTAGAATTGTAATAAATTCTCCTGGCTGAAGAAACAGCTGATATTAGTCAGTAACAAAGCTACAAATAAGGCATCTTACTCATCCCATACTCATATTCCATTCTTTTTTGTGTGAACGTAAGCCTTGGTTTTGTCTCCGTCTTAAAATTATAGCACTATTTTAAGTGATAAAGAGACAGCTAATTATTTACAAATTGTAACAAACATGATCTTTAAAAGGATATGGATAAACTATTGATTAAGTTCAAGAAGATCTCAACAACTGCTTTTTAGCCTAACCACTGAGGATGCCATTTCAAAGTAGGGGTGAAACGTCTGGCAACAGTGTTTTAGTGACGACGTGGTTGAAAAACACCACCATGAACTCTCATTTCACTGGCCGCAAAAGCATACGAATTGGCATCTTTCCATAGGAACTGAAAATTAATTGTTCATATTCACAAGGTAACTTCATATTTTTACGTTTGTAGAGAGATTGAGAAGGCCATTGACAAGCTGTCCAAGCAACACATTCGTCACATCCAGGCCTACGATCCCAAGGGAGGGAAGGACAACGAGAGACGACTCACTGGCAAACACGAGACATCATCCATCCATGACTTCTCTGCAGGTACTGTATCTGTAGAGATCACCACAACATCCACATGTTCCTAATAGTTCATTAGTGTTCATTCAGGTGTTTATCGAAACTCAAAAAGTAAATCGTTTACATGCTTGATTATGGTTATAAAAAAAGGCTGAGTTGGCAAGATTGTTGACTAAGTTCTTTAAATTTGCTTGTATAATTTTGTGACTAATAAAATACCAAGCAAACTTAATTATTAGCTGTCTTGTAAAGTTGTGTGATTCCTGGATGTTACACACTTATTGAGCGGTGAGAAAAGAAAAAGGAATGTATAGTGTTTATATCGAAGGCATTATTAGTGAAGGTAGACGACAAATGTCAGACTATCTTGTGACCTTTGTAATTAGCTTTTTAACAGTAGGCCTATTGCAAATATATCTAGACCTTACTGGTAATTTGCAAGTATTTCATCAGCAACTTTTGTCTACAGGTGTCGCGAATCGTGGCGCCAGCATCCGCATTCCCCGAGGTTGTGCTGAAGAGAAGAAAGGTTACTTGGAAGACCGACGTCCCTCATCTAACTGTGATCCCTACAAAGTAGCGGAAACCATCGTTCGCACCTGTTGCCTGGACGAGTAAACTAGGCCATATTCCAGCTGTATTATAAGCAACAAAGTGCATTATCTACGTTTGACGTTTGCTATCATTGTATTATGTATTTTTAATGGATATTAACAGATTATATAAGTAATTTTTTAAAGTAAATGGTTATTTTTATATAAGTCTTCTTGTTGGGACATGTTTCAATTCCTGACATTGTTTAATAATGTACAAATGACAAATTAATATATTAAACCATTTGTTATATAAACATTTGTTATGTTTGTTTTTTTAAACAACCTCAATGAATGGCTGGGTTGTGTAATAGGAATAGGTGGTTTGCTTGTTGTAAGGTACGAGGGTCGTTTTTTAAGGTAAGGGTCATTTTTGTGTACAGCTCTGTTTTTCACAAGTTAACTGCAACAAGGCTCCTTGCTGCTTACTGGCATAATTTGTGAACAGAATGACATTTGCAGCTCTGTAGCTGACGTGTACGCTTCACTGTTTAAATTTTTTTTTCATTTTTGAATCCCCAACATTTGAGAAAAGGTCAATAATACGTTTATGAGCACAAGAGACAAATCCGATGCTGACATTTAACACCAGATGGCTGAAGTTTATGACCGTGACGCAACGATAGTGAGGAAAGAGCAGAAATAGGCTAGGGAGTTTTTGGTGGGTACCCTTCTAGTTCTAATTAATGGAACTATAATTACTGTTAAGAATCAAACGTAAGGCTTGTGTTGTTTCCTCCTCGGCTATCTTAGTTCATGGTGTTGGGACCGCTCACCTTTGTCAGGAAAAACACAGATCGCTTCCCAATATAGGTTCTTTGGGTATAGCAGAGTGAGAATGCTGTTCCCACCCCACTACACCACTGTTCTCAATGTTAAGTAATGTGATCGTTTTTCATAGCGCACCAATTATGCCTCTTTGGTATAAAAGATTATACATCACCAGGCTTTGCCACTTTGACTTATATGACAGTTGATGCATTGGTTTGAACCAAAAGATAGGAAAATGGTACAGTATAATAAACAGTCACAGAGACTACTTTACTATTTTCATAATATCACTAACCTATCTTGCTTATGTCAATACCTCTTTAAATTGAAACTGCTCTACATTTAAATTGGATATGTTGCTAGTGGTTGGTGTCTCAAACTTCAGTGCAGAGGTTCCAATTCCCATATCACAAAGTTTAAGGGATTTGAACTGTTAACTCTTTTGAAAACTTTTACTCTCTACAAAACACTATTAAAAGCTGTAAAAGTGTATTTATACTGGAAAAAAATCACAGGTGAAGAAGAGCAGCTATTAGTCCAAAAAATTATAATAATTTATTGTGTTACAAATTAGTAAGTAGAAGAACAAAAATAAAGTTAAAAAGATAGTAACGAGTTAGCTTAAACGTAAAGGATGAGTGAGTAGGTTACGCCTTCATTGCAGCTTTGACCTGCTCCTGTTGAAACTGTTGCTGTAACTTGCCCAACTTTTCCCTGTGGGTCTCCTGTTTGCTGTCTAATGCATTGATCGTGTCCTCTATCCTCTTCCTAAAACAAGCGTGGGTTCATCATTCAAAGTTGTTTAACACTAATACCGAAACCCCGATCTGACAGGCCCACGGGAATTTTCACAAACGCATGTTTTCAACACTGTTCACTTGGGAGATTCCATTCCCCCAATACCTTCCCCCCTTTTCCTCCCCTACCAATTGATGTATTGTTTGTTCATTTCGCAAGGGTGCCGTGACCTTGGCAGGTTATCTGTTCATAACATGCCCTTCTCAGAAGCCCAGCTTTAGTGTATTTTAAAGCTCACAGGCCGAGGGTTTCGGTTTGTGTGTTTCTAAGCGGGGTCCATTATTTTTCAAATGGGGTCTCACAGACCGGGGGTTTCGGTTAACATCAGCCTAGATAGGGTTTCGGTATTAGTGTTAAACATTTCGACCATATATTTAAATTTGAACTCTTGGGTAAACTATATCGGCGTAAGGCTTAGTCAAGTTGTATTGACGAAAGAAAGAAAGTTTAAATAATCATATATACAGTAGTTTTTAAGTTAAGTTTTTTAAGTTGGCTGATAAAACAAGTTTGCATATTTGAAAAAAATAACTGCATCATCATTTTACGAGTTGGCGATATTCTGAGAACATAAAAATATCTTTCAATACTTTTTCATAGTTCTTCGCCTATAGGCCTCCCTATGGTAACTGTAAACATAAGACGATTTCAAAGAACTTCAAGCAGAAGTCAACCTTTCAAAATATATGTCTTCATAAAATTAAACTTGTAAACAATATCAGAGAATACTTTACGTAGGCCTACATACATTGTTAATATCACTAAGCTAACTTGCTTGTATCAATGACTCTTTAAATTCAAACCGTATTCCTTTATCTTATTATGTCTTGTGACTAAAAAATGAAATTCAAGGAGAGTAATTGAAATAGGCCTAATGAAATACAAAAATAATGTACAGTTGAACCTCCTTTGTACGAACCTCGATAAAACAAATTCCTCAATAAGACAAATTTTGTTTAATCCCCTTGACACTTTCATATAGGTCAATGCTAAAAACACCTCTATACAACGTAGTAATTAAGTTAAAAACCTCCATAAGACGAATTTGTTTGTGACATGGGCTAGGACTGATTAACCTCTATACAACAAATATTCTTAGCACAAAACCTCTACAAGACGAACGTGACCTCTATAAGACGAATTTATCATAATCTTAACCTCCATAGTACGTAGATTTCAAAACCAACAGAAGCTTGTCTCAACATGAAACCCCACCCATCCCTCCTCCTTCCTCAGTCATTGTTTGGAAAAACCTTGGAGTGAGGAGAAACCTCTATAAGAAGAATAACAGCAGCATTAAACCTCGATAAAACGACCCTCTTTATTAAGAATACCTCTATAGTACAAATTTTTCCCGTACCCCTTGAAATTCGTCATATAGAGGTTCAACTGTAATGATCTGGATCTCCCATGTATACCGTAGGCTTACATGAAAGAATGATATAGCTTATATACTGAATAGTTGAGCGAATTATCACATTGCACCACCCTGCAGTAGGCCTATACAAAATATTTTTCTAACACCTTGAATAGCAATAACCTTATTTAAACTTAGATTTTCGAATGAATCAGGCATCCCATGTGAATGGAGCAGCTGTACCACGGAAATGATGTAGGCCTAATCTTCGTTACCTGATTGCAGCAAAACCATGCAGCACCCCCCCCCCCCCCGCACCACGGGCACCCCCCCACCCATCCCTCCTCCTTCCTCAGTCATTGTTTGGAAAAACCTTGGAGTGAGGAGAAACCTCTATAAGAAGAATAACAGCAGCATTAAACCTCGATAAAACGACCCTCTTTATTAAGAATACCTCTATAGTACAAATTTTTCCCGTACCCCTTGAAATTCGTCATATAGAGGTTCAACTGTAATGATCTGGATCTCCCATGTATACCGTAGGCTTACATGAAAGAATGATATAGCTTATATACTGAATAGTTGAGCGAATTATCACATTGCACCACCCTGCAGTAGGCCTATACAAAATATTTTTCTAACACCTTGAATAGCAATAACCTTATTTAAACTTAGATTTTCGAATGAATCAGGCATCCCATGTGAATGGAGCAGCTGTACCACGGAAATGATGTAGGCCTAATCTTCGTTACCTGATTGCAGCAAAACCATGCAGCACCCCCCCCCCCGCACCACGGGTGGTTATTTAAACACCACTGCTGTCAATACTAACTGTCTTTTGATAACTTTTTAACTAAGTCAAACTTATTGTAAACTAAAGCACATCTTGCACATTAACTATCACAGTAATTTCAACTAAGGTAGGAAACTAAGGTACATACTGTTGCGCTTGCGCAATCTTTGGGACTCATTAAAATACGTCTATTAGGCCTAAATAAAAATTATGCTTCATCTGGTCCAATAGATGGGATGTCTACTTCAGTATCAACGTCAATGATATTACTTACAACTTAAACGCCTATTATCTTGATGCAAAGCACCAGAAGTTTTAGCAAAGAAATGTGAAGTATAGCAGCATTTTTACAAATAAGTTACATTTTTGTCATAGTAAACCGTTTGGTAATTTTTGTAATTTTTTTGCATAGCTTACAAATGAATTTAGGTACATAATTTTGTAATCTACAACCAGTTTAAAATAAATTTTACAAATTACTTACAGTTCTCCACTAATGTAGTCCATACGCTTGGCAACGTTCTGCTTAGCCTCGTCCAAGTCTTGCTTCACCAGCACTGGGCCGATCAGTTTGTACACTTCTCCATCAGGTTTCATCAGGTCGAGCTCCTATAACACATAGAAAAACACTATACAGTACACCCAATTTCATTGACACAACAAAGCATGAGAGGTTTTTAATGGTAAAAATGAAAAATCTACTTTCTAGGTTAGTTATTAAAGTCAGTTAACGTAATCATTTTTAACTGTTTGTCAAATTAAAGTTTTGGTTATTGTTTTACTTTTAGATTAATCTGCTGTTATTTCATTTACAAAGTTTCATGCAAAACACCCAAGAGCAGTCATGCTGATAAAACTCCCCTCATGATGAGGTTGGTCTTCAGAAGTTTTAATAATGGCACAGGACATAAACTAAAAGTCAAATTTTAAAATTATCTCAGGCCAAAAGATTAAATATAAGGCATGCGGTGCCAGTGAAAAATAAGTCACAAAAGTTACTTTTCTAATTTTTTGTAGTCAGTCTTCTGGCTATATATTTATTTGGACAGCTTTTACATAGTTGGAAAATTTAGTAAAAAATTCTAACGTTACAAGTTATTAGTTAGCCCCCTGAAAAGTAACTACGAGTTATTAGTTAGTTAGATAAAAAAGTAACTGATAGAAGTTATTTACTTAGTTACGGTAGTTAAAAAACTAACTGATAGAAAATAAAGTTAGTATTCAGAGAAGTTTGGTGTTTGTTGGGCAGTTGTTTTAAAGGATTTCATATGAAATGAAATAATGGCATAATCTTGGTAACTACCCTAATTGTGTTTATTAATAACTAAACATTGTCTCATTACCTGAATGACTTTTTAAAACTATTACTTAACTATCACCTAAATATAACAAGTTAATTTAAAAAAGAAACACTTAAAAAGCTTAAAGCATGCACCCTCAACTTCCATATTGGATTAACTGCCTTGCGGCTTCTTCCAGGGAAAGTAAGTAAAATTAAATGCAGACATACCGGTACTGTTTTAGTTACCAACACAGGTTAATGTTTTCAAATGTAAGTCAATGTTTTTGAAAATTTGCAGTGTCTTTTCCTCTGCAGGCAAGATGTAAACAAACCATAAAATCGCTGTCACTGGCCAGACCTGAGCCCAACAAGGTCATAGACCCTCCCCTCTTACCCTGGTTGCAATACAGCCAATTGGAGACAAAATTGTGTTACAAAACATGAAAGTAGAGTCAACAAATATATTTCTTTGTTCAAAAACATAAAACTGTTACAGATTATTTTCAAAGAAATTAATTCACAGTAGTTTGTGTCTTGTAAATATTATATTTGATCTTGAAGACTTAATCTTCTTCGTATTTACTTAAGTGTAATTGTGTTCAAATAAATGTTTTATTCATTGTGATTCCTGTCAAATACAAAATTCAGTTTGGTATGTTAAATGTTATAGAAACATGTTAATTACCATAATTTAATACTGTATTGTATTTCCATACTCTTTCCCATTTAATACTTTGCGGATTAACCTTGACAATTTTAACTATCCGAGAAGGCTCAACACTACTTTTTCCCGGTTAATCGGGACTTGAGTATCACAGGTAGAGGTTGCTACCACAGAAATAAATGACTTCACACTTGTCAGAGAATGAAAATCAACTGAAGACTATGATTTGAGATGACAAACCACCAAACAAACATTCCCCCTTCCTACCCCTTGGTAGTTGCAGTGTCGTTATTGGCTGCCACCAAGAGATGCTTCAAATTAAGTTCCAAGATGAAGTGCCTAATAACTTAACAACAATAATCAGATCCAGTCTAGGTCAATTGCAAATGATACTTTTACCAAATAATAGGAACTTAAAAATAGGCTATCAGGTTTTTAAAACTTACCGTTTTCACTACCATATTCTCATTGAGTTGTCCATCAAGTGTCTGACGCTGACTAATTGCCTTGTGATACTCTGAAATAGTTAAATTAGTATCAATTTAATAAATATTTAAGTTACCATAAGCCCTAAGTTAGATTACTCTTGAAAAATATGTTAATTGAATTTGTAAGGCTTGAAAAAACAAACAGTAATTTAAAGTAATAGCCTTTGCTAAAAGTTTACCTCAAAACATTAGTGTTAAAGAGTTCCTTCTATTAAGGATGATTTAGTACAGTTCCAAAACCTACGATTACGCTGTGCACTTGGCAATCAAACACCTTCCGGCCACACAAGTGTAGCACTCGTGGGATATAGAAGGGTGCAATTAACTTTTGAGACATATTTTGTAATTGGTGAATACAGTTTGACAGTGAGTTAAATGTTACAGATTTTAAAATTAAGGAAACAATGGTTAACTTGTGTATTTACTGGCAATTCCTATGATGTAATGTGATCGGTGACAATTTTTTAAGTTGCGCCTCTGGTCCTGTGCAATAAAATGTTTCAAGGAACAGGAAATGATTCTCAGTCCCCATTTCCCAAACTATAGTTAGGGCCATCAAGGAATAGTGAAAATCTCTAATAAACACATGAAATTAAAACGTAGGCCTGGTTCTGGTTTATTGCCTTACACTGTCTTCTATATCTGGGCAGTATAGGTTAACTACTCGAAAGATACTTTATGATAGACACAAAGAAATATAAGTAAAACCTCACTTAGAATTGTATAGATAGTGTAAGAAAGGGTAGGTATATTTAACCCTGAACCCACAGTGCTCATCTATGCCGACACTCTTTTCACATTACACTTAGTCGAATGTAATGAACAGAATTGAGCTGTAGCATGAACATGAATTTAAAAAATTCTTTTCCTAGCTGACGTGAGCTAGGTGAAGACCAGTAGGCCTAGGGCTGACCTTCTATGAATAATGAAGAAGTGCTAATAATGAAGAAGATGGATAGGTGAGTAGACTTGGAGTTTGTGGACCGGAGGATAAAGAGAGGAGAGAAGACCACAGTTTGAGTGTTCACACCAAATACTCAACCAAGTGTAATGTGAACAGAGTGTCCGTCGGTATGGATGAGCACCGTAAGTTTAGAGTTAATACCATTTCTTACAATATACACACAATCGATAATCAAACGCCAAACATTGCTCCCTTTGACAAAAGCCTATTGACTAGGAATCTCCTTTCCCCTCACATATCAGCTCTAACTAAGTGGGAGTGTGTGGAGAACATTTTACACCTCAATGGGGCCTTTTCAATTCAAAAGTAACACCAAAATAGCAGTAAATAAATAGTTTTTATTTGCATAACAAGTAGGGATGAGCATCGATAGGTCAATGTTTTTTTCTCAATTTTTCATCTGTTTTTTGTACTCTCCAGTATGGTAGGTAATGGAAAACATCAATATCTCAATAGGCTATTTAAAAAACTCAATACTCAAAAACACCGATGTTTGACAAAACATCGATATAACCAAAACATCGTTGAGTACCGGTGACCTACCATCGATGTAAAAAACATCAAACTAGTGATGCGCGATTACGAGATGTTTGAACAATCGAAATGTTCCTTCTCGAGAGGTTTGTACAATCAAGATGTTTCTCTCGTTTGTTGCATTCGTTAAGCCTAAACGTCTGTTCGCATCCGTCTACATTTCATGAGAGTTGTTACGAGAATGTTAGTTCTTTTTCTAGATTACTATCCCTCGAGGAGACACGTCACCAGTAAAACAGGAGCAGGCGCATGGGGAGCTATTCCGCAACACTAAATAGCATAAATTTTACCCATTTTACTTGATGTTATAACGAAATATTATAGCCTATGTAAATGTTGAATAACCTAATTAGAAACCTAATTTCTTTGTTAATAAAATTAGGTAATATTTGTTTAACTTAATATGAGTAATATTTCAAATAAACAATTTGAGCAATTTTCTAGGAAAAGGTATCATTGTCGGTGTTACAAAAGTGGGCGCAAGCAGAGTTTTGTTCTGCAATAATGCAGTTATACATATACATGCAAACAAAATATATTTGATAATAATTATAAATGAAATAATACTAATTTAAACATGTTTCTAATTTCGTATGTATAAAATATACACACAGTTTGTCAGGAGCAAATGAGGAAATAAACTCTGCACTAAAGACTTGCGTGATAGGGTGCAAGCGGAGTAAACCTGCGCAAACTGACACCGCATCACTGAATTGCGACTGACAACAAAATGAGGAGGAATTCGGGGGTAAAAATAGCTAAGGGGCATTCCCGGGATGAGGTGCGTGAAGTGTAGAGCCGGACACGACTGCCGACACCCATTATGCATAGCCTATTTATATTACCTAACAAAAACTTCAAGTGCGGACGAAAAATCCGCAAGCGCCCGCTCGAGGGTTAAAGAATAGTAGACTATTATCGTTCAACGATAATAGTATGTCAACTTGAATATTTGATGCACAACATTACTGGCATATGAATAAGCACTTACTTCACTCCGTCATGGCAACAGAAATGGAAAATTATTTTAAATTAATGGGTAATGGTAAATAAGAGGTACTGTTAACATAACATTTATGAGAACCTCCTGTCTCGTTATAAACATTTCGATTTAAATAGCCTACAATCACTTTGTTTGTAAAATATATCGTCTTGTCAAGTTTTTATTGAGTGGTAAAGTCACTATTCCGTAGATAAAATTATATCCGTAAACCTTCCTTGGTTTGAAGTAAGATAGGCCTATGCCACTTATTGGAGGTCTATCCCCGGCAGATACAATAGAAATTAGGTGATAATAAATGACGATGCCGCGCACTTAACAAAACAATTGCCGTGGACATCTCAAAAGACTCTCGGTATGGACTTCTTGCCTCTCGGTTCTCTAGACAAATGCGAGATACGAGAGAAGAGAACCAGAAGCCGTGCTGAAACGAAACAATCGTCACAAACATCTTGTTAAACCCACTCGTTAAGAACCTATCACCTCTCGGTTCTCTAGCCGAATGCAAGATACGAGAGGAGAGAAGCTTGCTGAAACGAAACAATGGTCATGAACGTCTTGATAAAACCTCTCGGTAAGAACCTCTCGCCAAGCAAAATACAATCGAAACGTCTCGAGAGGTTCAAACAATCGAAACGTTTCAATTGTAACATCTCGCATTCATGCATCACTACATCGAACATAAGATAGAAAAACTTGATGTTTCGAATACATCAACACTCATCCATAAAAAACTAGCATTTGTCGGACAGCTGAATCACCAATAGTTCAATAGTCAATGAAAATATTAAATGTAGGACTAGGACGTAGGCTTAACTTAAGTGCAACCCTTAATACCTACTATATTCAGGCTTAGGTACCTATTATTAACCTCAAACTTACCTTTTTGAGCTGACTTCAAACTGTCAAGCTCAGTTTGAAGCTTTTTCTGCAGTTCTTCCATATTAATGCTGAAGAATCGTAAAATAAAAATCAATCAATCAATCAATATATCAACCGGGAATATATTGGTAACTAAGTAACGTTTCTATAGGCTAAGTAGAAAATGTAAGTTCAGTCAGTAATCCTTACATTAAAAATTAAAACCTGAGAAAAGTAAAAACCTAACCTTACTCTTGCACCTTTAACTGCTATGGAATGGAGTAATAACGCAGAGAGTAAGAATACAATTTACTAGTAGTATTGAATAAACCCACAGCCGCCTTTAATGGTGGCCGTGACATAGCTCGTTGTTTCGTTGTTTATAATTTTTTGTTCATGATACTGTAATAATAACCTATTTTTAGAGTTATTATATTTGTGAGTGTGTATACTTAAAAGAATTAATGTTGTCAAGGAAATTGCACAATATTCAATAGGGAAACACAGGATAGGACTATTATCGTTAATGCAATTTTACAGAGTTGAGAGTAATCCCTTAACATGCTGGGATTTATCATGTGCTTCCCGTGATGAACCAGAGGAACCCGTTCCCGTTGTCACTAGGCTTTGAAATCTCTGTACAACACGGTCCGTTAGCTCCAGGCCACGGCGTTCGAAGTGGCAACATTTTCAGTAGTGATGATCAACAATATGAATAACACGCAAACAAACGAGAGAGCGTCACCTGTCTGCCATGTTAGTTTATAGGACGTCTGGCGATAAACAACACTACTTGTGACGTTGCCAATTCTAACAGGCCACGGCATGTAGTTAAAGGTGACCTTGGTAGGTACTGTCATAGATAAAACATACTCCCTTAGTAGATTTCTCATCCTTATGGAACAGCTGAAGACAATTTTATTGTTAGTTCATGTACGGTTTATGTAGAGGTCGTGTTTTGTTTACAATTTGTTTCCCGTTATTACAACCATTTAAAACCTCGTTTAACCAAATAATACGATCTAATCATAAACAATAACTTGTCCCCTAGTTATATAACCAAACAGTAAAGCACAAATCAAGAAATTAACCTTAAAATAATGGAAACAAAGTTTCATCGACACTAGCGCCTTTGTGTCACGTACATGAACTAGACACGAAAAACGTGCTTCAAAAGTTACAATGTGATGAGAAGTCTACTTGTGTTGGTTAGTCTATGGTACTGTTCATTAGTCAGACGACAAGGACTTAAATATGCGTCTACGGTCTGGCCGCCCTATGAAATCGACAGTCATATTGAGCTGGTAGAATTGGCAACTGTCATTAAATTAATTATTAAATAATTATACTGAGATCATAAAAGGTTGTGTATTTCCGTTTTAACAAAACACTCAATCAAAATATCAAACAATAACACAAAACATATGCTGAACAATTACCATATGTTATTAACATATTAACTACTACTGTCATCCCTCCTTCACAAGTCAAAATTATTTGGTTTTCTTCTAATCCTTTCCCCTCGTCTTACAACAGGAGCTGAGTCATTGTTTTGTAATTCTGACCTGGACGATTGACCTTTATTCACATCATGGGAGATTCTGAATGACTTGTCTCTTCTTAGGAACCATGAGTTTCTTCGGTATTCTCGTCCATCACCAGTCTGGATTTAGTACGATCGAGGTTCAGGACCAACTTGAACAATCTTTGCTCTCAGCCAACACTTTGGTTTGAATCTGAAAAGCACTGGTTCATCGAGTTGAAACTGATCAGGCTCTGTCTTCCTCATATCACCGTATAGCTTCTCTCGTCTTTTAATTTTTTCTAGCTGTTTTGAAACATTCTTTATGACCATCGGAATAAGGTGGTTGGTCGTAGATGGAAGTAGAGTCTTTGTCCTCCTACTCATCAGCCGCTGAACTGGGGAACCTAGGTTACCTCTTGGTGTGTTACGGTGATGAAGAAGTGCAAGATAAATATCGGACTGTTCTTCTTGACACTTGAAAATTAAGTTTTTTCCTTCTTGGACATACCTCTCCGCTAGCCCGTTGGATCTTGGAAAATGAGGAGATGAAATTCTATGATTAAATTTCTATTCGGATACGAATTTAGTAAATTCCATAGAAGCGAAACATGGTCCTCCATCAGTTCTTAGTTCATCTGGAATACCATGAGTTGCAAAGTACTTTTTTAGGTGTGTAATAACAGTGATGCTACTTTTGTTCCTAAGATTTTCACACTCAAAATATCCTGAGTAACTATCAGCAACTACTAAGAAGTCTTTACCTCCACATTCAAAAACATCAGCTCCGATGAACTGCCATGGCCTCACTGGTACTGTTTCTTGAAGGATCACATCTTGAGGTTTATCTCGTTGATATTTGCTGCATACATTGCACCTTGCTACATATTGTTCAATATCTTTTTCCATATTAATCCAATATACATAGTCACGTGCTGTATTAATTGAACTTTGAACACATTTGTGAGGACGGTGAATATTCTGTAACACTTCAAGTTTCATTTCATCAGGTATAATCAAACGGCTTCCTTTAAACAAAAGACCATCATAGCAACTTAGTTCTTCTCGGAAAGTGAAATATTTTACTAATTCCTTGTCAACAGTGCTTCTTTCTTCGGGCCATCCATTCAAGATCATCTCCTTCAATTTAGAAAGCTCTGTGCATTTTCCAACACTAGTTCTGAGTCGAGAAACTGTATCAGAAGACACAGTTTAAAATGCTCAAATACTTCATTAGATTTACCAACAAAAAACTTATCAAATCGTTGAACAACTTCATCCAATTCAATATCTTCATCATCAATGAAACCAAAACTGTTATATATATCTATAACATCTGGGCCTAAACTAGACATAAATGATGCTACCTGTACTGCATTTGATCTCCTATCAAGGCCAGAAGCTGTGTAGTACCAGTTCCACTGTTGCTTCCATTTCTTCCAAGAAGGAGCCATCTGAGTACTTGAAACCACAAGACATTTTGGTGGTTTTACATTATTATCCTTGTCTTCTGTATGGTTTGAATGTATATCATCATCTTCCTTAAACGCATACCTTTTATTTCTATTCCGTGTGGGTTTCGGCACCATGTCATTAAATTAATTATTAAATAATTATACTGAGATCATAAAAGGTTGTGTATTTCCATTTTAACAAAACACTCAATCAAAATATCAAACAATAACACAAAACATATGCTGAACAATTACCATATGTTATTAACATATTAACTACTACTGTCAGCAACGTCACAAGTAATGTTAACAACTGTGTTAATAGGCTGTGTTAGATTAATTAATGGGCTGTGTTAATAATGTCAGGCGTCAGACGTCCCATTAGACATGGCAGACAGGTGACAACAGCTCATTAATTCGCGGATTATTAATTTAATTTAAAATTAAGAAAATAAATGCATTAGAATATTGAAAATGAAACATATAGAATCGAAAATCAAAACTAGATATAAATTGAAAATGAGTTTCTGTACATTTGAAGTGGAGTCAATATTTTGATAGCCCATAGTAAACCAAGCTTTTTTATTCCCAAAAATAAATATACACAAATACAATAGCTGCATCCACAAAACTACTTGCGACGTTGCAACTTCGAAAGCCGCGGCCTGGAGTTAAGGGGGGGGGGGGTCGATTAGCCCTATCTTACTCATGTTAAAAGTTCAAATTTTCGGTAGCCCGTTTCCTCAGTAACTAGTAATAGTATCAGGATATTTTTTTATAGTTTTGATAGTTGGTAGTTTCCTGAAGTTTTTACGAAGGGATTTTTTTTTTATTTAAATGTTAGCAGTTTTTTTTTTGCAAAAAGTTTTTAAAAAACCAGCGTTTTTTGTATACAGAATAACTCTTTTTCTAAATCAACATTTTAAAATCAGACCGTTAGATTTGTTCATTTTAGAATTACCTATCAAACAAAAAAGATTCCTCAAGATAACTGTAGTAGTTCCTGAGATAATGGTTCCGAAGTGCAAAGTTTACAAACTTACGGGAATCCGCATTTAATAAAGCGCTTAAATTTATTTAATTATTTTTTAATGTCAGGTTATTGCGTGTCCTCCTCTTCTAATAGGAAAAAGTTGCAAAACAGGTATTGTTTGCCATTCACAAATCCATGTAAACTCAATAATGCCGTCAACTTCCACCCAAGCCGGACACCGTTTATTTATTGTGGGCCTCTCCCGCCAGCTAAGCCACACATTATTGAGCTTAGTCAGGATCACACACGTACGGGATTCGAACCCGCGCGTGTAGGATGACCGCAACGCTGCACTCATCACTCCGCCAGTGCTACGCTTTTGCCATCTCTGCTGAGCTATCATGCCACCATAAATAATCATAAATAAATATCATAAATTGAAAATGAGTTTCTGTACATTTTAAGTGGAGTAAATATTTTTGTATAGCCCAGTTAACCAAGCTTTCGTATTCTCAAAAATAAAATCAAACAAATACAAGCTGCCTCCAAACCAAACAGCTGTCACAACACTACTTGCGATGTTGCATCTTCGAAAGCCGTGGCGGAGCAAAGCGTTTGAAGTCGGAGTTAAACTAGTGGGGCCTTGATTTAAAGGTGCCCGTGGCTTAAATGATATTCATTACTTATTGTCTTTCTTTGTTATAAATTGATTGTTATTTATTAGTCGTTTGTCAGTATAACTGTTTTGTATTTTTTTAATGGCTCTGCCATTGGTATGTATCAATAAAAAATATAATAACTAAATAAATAATAAACATAACATAGGCATGTAATTATATAATTTCTATGAGTTTGTGATATAATGATTTGGTAATCTTACAATTTTTATTTTTAAAGTCCTCTATACAATAAAAAAAGTCTAACCACTTAATTTTTGGGAAATTATAGGCTTTTATAAACAATCACAATCGGACCATGCAGCTTTTTCATACTCTATAGTCTATACCAACAATACCAAAACCAAACCAACACTGAGAACAGGAACAGCCAACAGAGTGACAGAGAGCCCGCGACTCCGGTTTTTTCTAGTGGGGCCTTGCTCCGATTGGCGCGATTGCCGGGAAAGAAGAAGACAAGAAAGAAAGAATTCAAAGTTGTTGTTGTTGTTGTTAAATGTTATTGATACTGATACTCTTGCTACTCGTTTGTTGTAAGATAAAATATCTTAGGTTCGTTATGGTAAGAGGTAGGAGTATTGTGATTATGAAATAGTGCGAACATACTGTGTTTATTTTCATATATTTTTCATCATCTTACAGATACAAATAGGTAAGTTACTAACACTGACCTTCACTGTTTCACTTGAGTTTTTCTCAGTAGACTACTTGGCTAGGTTAGGCATTTAAGTTAGGCCTACATCAATATATGCCTAATTTAATGTATTTTAATTTTCTGATAGGCCTGAGAGTTGAATAATAATCCAATTTTGTAATCCGTGGCGTGAATTCTGTAATCTATGTGTTGCAGAGTTGAAATGTTTTGTATGACTACAAGTCTGAGGAATGTTTAACAAGTAAGCTATCCTAGGCTAGTTGATGTCAGGTAGGTGTATAAGCTACCAGTAGTCTAGGTGTTTAAAATAGGCCTACTATGATGAAGGGCTGCACTTTACTTTACGTCCAATACTCATCAGAATGAAAAATTTTGATTATTCGATGTATCGATTAATTCATTTGGTTAGTTATGTAATGTTCCTAGCTAACCAAACTTAATATATCGAATGAAATAATCGATATATTCATTCGAATGAGTGTAGGAAAAATGTGTGTAAAATAAAGTGCAGCCGGATGAAGTCAAGATAACTTAATATATCTTACACACCAACCAGTATACACTTATATATACTTAAGTACAAGTACAAGTACAAGTACTTAAGTATGTACTTATGTACTTAAGTATATACTTATATCACTTACAGTATTTTATGAACTTGTGCTAGGTATTATTTTTTTTACAAATTTTTGGTTTATTTGGCTAAATTAGGCAATTTTAAGCAAGTTTTTCCTCTGGCTTTCTTGGAGCGGACACTACCTTGAAATCCTTTTAAGGTTGGCTAAAATATTGACAGGATGGCCAAAACACATTTCACATATAACTTAAGTTATTGTCCATTCTAGCATTATGTTCATTTTAGCAGGTCATGTAAGTTAAGTTAGGTAATTCAATCTAAACAGGCCTAAGTGTTGTATCAAACCAAACTAAACTTGAAACCTACCCAACTCAACCTAACCAAACTTACTTAGGCCTATATAACATTGGCAAATTCTATTTGGTGTCAGAAAAGGCATGTAAGTAGCCTATAGTAGGTCGTTCTTAACGTAAATTCAAGACTGCATTAAGTTAAGTCCTTTAAGTAGGCCTAATTCTAGTGTCAATACGTCAATTTACATTTCGATACTTAGGATGGCTAATTACAGAATATTTGTGTGAAGGTACGGTAGGTAGGTTAGGCTTTGAAGGTAGGTTAGATTAGGTAAGTTAACCCAACTTCCTGGACTGTAGGGGGATATATCCGCTATCATTTAGTGCAAAGCAGACGGTAGGCGGATATATCCACCAATTAGGCCTATTAATAATAATAATAAAAAGGTATTTATTTATCAAGCGTTTTTCAGATACAATAATTTGCTTTCCAAAACAACTCTTGTCCTTAATAGGACCTGAATAAACTATACATAAAAATTAACTATAAAACAACACTCAATAAACTTAAGTTAACTCAAAAAATTATAAAACATAATTTACAACATCAACATCAAACGTCAGTCTAGAATCGTATGCAGACGTAAACTGCCGAGTGGCAGGCCGTCTCACCGTCTTCCCCGCGAAGTGCATTGTGGGTATGTGGAGAGTATGGGTGGGGGAGCCCGGCATGGCCGCCGGGTCATCGCCCGAACTCGCAGCCGTTATCCCGCACTTTACTCAAAAATGCGTTATTGTAATGACTATTGCGCTACCACAAATTAATACGATTAAACTTCTGCAATTACTTATTGTATTTTCAAGGCTCTGCTCTAATGTAATATCACTAGGGCATTTATAGCAGTCCAATATGCAGGTATTTAGATGCTTTCATTAAAATTACAAAAGCTTATAAGCCTTTTAAATTTACAGTATTCATTTACAGTATGCCTATAAATACTATAATTTGAGTGAAATTTGGAAATTTCAAGTGTAATGCCCTAGCTGAATGTTAGGTATGGATTTTTTTTTCCTATTTTGCATTTTTTTAACCCGTCATAGATACCTAAAGTTTTTCAGTACCTATAGCATAAAAAAAAAATTCTTCAACCCACCTTACTGTACAGGTTTATAACAGGATTTCTGTTATGCGTTTACTCGCTTAAATGTCATGCTCTTGGTCCCGACAATCAAGTTTCTACTGTAGTTGTTATACTCCCATAGTAAAATAGATATTTTGAAGATTTTATTTGTTCGTCAACAAAGACAAAGATCATTGAAGGATAGAATCGAGTGGATTAAGCGATAGCTCTGTCACTGACTAAGATCAATGGTTCTTTAGCTGATATGACCATTGTTGGTAATGATCATATATGTTCTTTATTTTTATTGTTATTGTTGTTTATTAATGTTTTGATTAAGTATGTCATGAGTTGTGATGAAGATTAATTTTATGATATTACAATATTAAATTGGTTTGATATCAAATTTGTGTTACCGGTACTTTATATATGTAGAGATATCAACAACCTCATTTATTAAAAACTCAGTGATCAAGAGCAACTGGAACAACTGGCTCCAGTTCCAAATCATCAAAAAGCTACTGCCTTTTCTCAGGTTGATCCGGCAACCTTCTGACCAATAGTCCACTGTATCCACCAGACTTCACAGCTATTTGAATCCATAAGCCCAGTATTTTATAGCCAAAAAGTTACAATTTCACTTAGATTTTTAACAGTGTTAATGTTTTTGATAATTTAGTAACTGACTGTTTAAACCTTTCCAACCAAATTATGCCACATGCAGCTAAACTCCTCATGAGTTGTACGTACACCAATCCTGACTAAGATAGAATTCAAATCCTTAATGTAGGCTACAGTGCTAGACCTTAAATTGCTCCAATTGATCACACTAGCCTCTGAGTCATATAATTCTAAATTTGAATTCCAGATGTTGCAGCACATCGTCAAATATATAGCTTTTATTAAAATTCATTGTGTAGCCCCTGAACTGTTGATAAGACTAATATTTAAGGTACATACCTTTACGTCCACAGTTCATGAATGTATGGTCAAACCCACTACATTGTCAAGACATCCTTCAAGAACGTTTCGTCCATTGTAGACTTGTCAAAAAACATTTAAAATAAATACACATAAAACACGATACATTGTACGAAACATTTAACACTTAGTAGGCCACGTTCTTGAAGGATCACTTGACAATGCCTATGTATAGGCGAAACATGTAGTGGGTTTGACCATAAATTTATGAACTGTGGACGTAAAGGTATGTACCTTAAATATTAGTAATATAGCTTTTGGCTGTTCAATATGGTTTGTCTTTGCACTCAAAGGGTTAATTACTTGGCAAACACTAATTAATTGTTATCAGTTATCAGGCCAAAGAGAGAGCTTTAAATTTACGTCCTTGCTTGGGGTTTGATTAAGCCCGATGTTGTTAGGTTTTTCTGGTCAGATTTTATTGCCTGACACATTGTAATAGTTAAAAATATAAGTGAACTTGTACTGTTTATATATCAAACCGTACAAATTTCATTATCCGTGTTATGAAACCAAGCACGTAAAATGCTGATCACAAAGTTATTCAGACTACAAAAATTACCACAAAAGTATTTAATATTTAGTAAGGTCATGAGTAAGTAGGGCTTAATATAATAAATAACACAATATTTAAAACATAAAATAAACTTTATAAATGTATATAAACATATTGAGTAGTAAGGCTCTTCGATTAGTTTAAAATATGTGTTGAATAGGATTTTTCAAATGTAACACATTGGAATGTAAAAACCTACCCGATTTGAATTAGAATAATCAATATTTAAAATTGTGTTGTTTTTTTTTTAAATGAAAACTTGTAGTGCTTGTTAGGTGAAACTTGAAATCATTGGTAGGTCCTTGTTGTATAAAGTAAAGGTTAGAACCACATTGTCCAAGCTATAAGTATTTTAAATTTTATAAACATTTACAAATCTCTGTTACAAACCCTCCTCTAGAACTTGTTAATTTAGGCCTAAATTTAATATTGCGTACGCTTTGTCTAAATCAGTGAAAATTAATCATCCAGATTTTTCATGAGACTAAGTAGAAGTAAATGAATAAATTATTCTTGGCCTTGATTATGATTACTCTTAGTTAATTAAGTCTCCAAATAGACTGTCAACTTAGCCTATTTTGGACAAAAATAATGTGATCTTTTGTGGTGATAAATCCTACAAGTACGAATACATTGTCAACAACAAACACCATTGTATAAGTATAAGATATTACCCTGTCCGTGATTAGTGTAAAAAACTATTTATCTCCTGGTGAGACAAAATAAGGTTAATGCAAGCATCAATTGGTTTCTTAAAATTCTATACAGTCATTCAATTAAGTATGTTTGATTCTGGGCTTAGCCGTTGCCGAGACAAATGGAGGCAATGTATCCTTTAAATGCTAACACTCCTCTACACTTGATATGGACGAGGAATCTGACGGCCCAATCCATTCTTGGACGATTCTTGTCTGCAAACATTGCCTCCATGGCTTCAACTGGTAAAAGATCTGCAAACAAGAAATACAAATGATTAATAGATTATGTCTTAACTCATTCTACCAAAAGTAAAATAAGAATAAGAAAAATATCAATTTAAAATATAATTTTCTTAAAAACTTATCACTAATTATAAATATAGGGTATTCTAATGAAAAAAAGTACACTGAATGTGCTTATCTATATTATTAAAAGAATTTGTTTGATTTTTGTGTGCAGCAAATCGACCCCTAAATATTTATTAGTATAAGCATATTGGGTATCAATTTAAAGCTCTTATCCTCTAGAAGTGCCTTTTGTGGGTTTGGGTGATATCTCGTGGAAGCCCTTTGTCCAACAGGCTTTTACAATTTCAGAGTTTGTGCTGAATTCTGTTGTCAATCATCTGAACTGTTTCAAGTTTACATTTGTTTACATTATAGCAGTTGGCAATAATACAATTTTGTTTACATCCATACAAAAATGGGGTTATCTGTTTAGTAGTTGGCGATGTTTCAGTGAATTCAAGTAAATATCGTAATGCTGTTTTTTTATATAAAATGTAAAGAAGAAAATGACTTACGTTGGATTTCGTGTTGTGATAGGATTTTGTGTCTCCTTCCATAGTATGTTTTAGGGAATTTAAGTAAAATATTGTAATGTTATTTGTTTAAAATGTAAAAAGATTTTGTGTTTTTCATATGTATGTTTCATTAGAATTTGTAATTTTACTAAGATGCCTCGAAGAGATCGTGCATGCAATGAAAATAATAGGGCACGCAATGCAAACAGGGATAAGAAGTCATGAAGTGACGCAGGATGCTAGTAAAACATAAATTCATTAAAGATACAGGTATGTCTGCAGTTTGCAATAATACGATAAAGTGAAGAAGTTACGTGAGAGTACATCGTCCAGTTGTGAAATTGAGTTTAAGAGCTTCTAAGAAATGTGTGTAAAATTGGAATTTCATAGTCATGTACAATCCTCCAGTAGTTTTAAGAATCTATTATGAAAATATTAATAAATGTCTGGACTCTTAAGAATAAGAACACTTTTTCAATGTTAGCATATAAATAATTTAGGTACGGTAATCATAGTGTATACTTCGTTAACCATTTTTTAGTTTATTCTGAAAGAGCCAGATGAAATATTTAGAAGTGATAAAACAAGCCCATGGGGCGTAGCCCAAGGGAAATATGAAAATTAAATTATATAATATTGCATTGTCATCCATTTGTGAGCTATGTTTCAAGTTTCAAGTCTCTAGCTCATCGGGAACTTAGTATAAAATTGATTGCAAAATTTGTACCGGACAAGAAAGCGAGCTAATAAAAACGTTTTAAAAAGGGGAAACAAAACCCACATTTAACTTCTACCATTAAAAGTTATACATCATGACAGTATACTGTAGGTCAGTTAGCCTATGTTGTATATTTATCTCTAGTAGTGGATATTAGAAAACTATTGTTTATTTATATGATTATGTAAAAACAATATTTAAACACAGCAATGTCCCTACATACTCATGATTCCCCAGGAGCAGTCCGAATTTCTCAACCCACTAAATATTTAATTACATACCTAGGTAGTGTCCCCATCTCAACTGGTAATAATAAAAACAAATATTACCACACAAGTTCCACATAACCCTACACTGATGTTAATTATGACTCCAAGAACTATGGCATAATACAGAACTTAGTAGCTTTAATGGTTACACAGTAAGTCTGCTAGTAGCACTTGCAGAAGTTGCAATTGGGACTTGTGAGTCAGCTGCATACTTGACGACCAGAGCGCTAACTAGTAGCCAAGTTAGTCTATTGTCAGCGCATACACTAAACATTTTAAGTTATAGAAAAAGTACATTATGGGTTTTTTTCAATAAGTAAAATCCATATATTTCAATGTCATAATGTTTGTAAATGGAGTACAGTAAATGAGAAATACAAGATAAATGTACTATATTACTTCTTAATTTTTATTTTTGCGTCCTTTATTCTAATAACTTTGGAACCCTGCCTGTACACATTACTCTGACTTAATGTGTGGGACTTAACTGTAATACCAACTCACGTAGTTAAAGTTTTAAGTTAAGTCACATAGACATAACTAACCCCTCAAGGAACCTATAAAGTTAGACTTGGATAATATACCATCTTATTTATTAAATCTATCCACATGCAACCGTGTTCAATCAATTCTACTAACCTACGAGCGGTATGATTCGAGTAAAGTTGTGATGCTAATCTACTGATGACAGAATACAACGCAAGCTATACCCTACAGGCTGACAGTATGTAGCCCTTAGCAGCAATCACTCCGCGACAGCAATGAAGCGTGAGGTAGCGAGAAATCCATCTGTAGTTGAAGCTTGGCAAGTCAGACCCCTGGCCTAAAGCTGCATGCAATTTTTTGGGTGGCAAAAACTCTGCAAATGAAGACAGTGCATAAAAAAAAGAAGCTGTGCATTAAGTTTGGAAATAGTGGGATGGAGAAGGTGAACAAAATACTCAAGGGGTACAAAGAGCAAGAAGGGTAGGAAAAACTAGTTAAAGGAACTGCATGAAGTATTGCTCTATCAAAAAGGTGCTTAATATATATACACGTGGATCACTAAACTCTGTTGTAAGTAGGTAGCAAACCCAAAGAAATACATAATAAAACACATAGGCCTAATAAGGAAAAAAATAATCTTCTATATATTAATAAGCAAGCATGTTTCTTTAAAACCTTTTTTCTCAGCTTGTGTGCATTGCAGGGAAATCTATGCATAATGTTGGAAAGATATTTTCCTGTAGATGTGCAGAATCCCTTTACAAATTAAAATAGGCTAAAAAATAAGTACAACAATTGATTAAAAATTAAAAAAAATCAAATGGGCATTATGGGTTGCCATGCTGGTGGCGAAATAACGACATATAAAAATAAAATCAAAACAAATGTAAGAAATTCCAATCAAATGTTTTATTTACAGTGTGGGGTGGAAATAAAGAATTCTGTACATTACATAATTTTGGTCGAGTTTTCGACCACTGGACGACCTCAGTACCTACTAATTATTACAAAACAAAATGTGAACAAGTTGAGCTTTTCATTAAAAATACAAAATTGGTTATGGCTTCCTAATCTTAGGGAAAGATTTAAAATTATAAAACAATTGTTAAATCAGCCTGTTCCTTTATTTTATAACATGTTTAAGTAAAAGGTAAAATGTATCACAAAATAAATAGAAAATTGGATCACAAAATAAAAAAATGGCAGCAGTAGAAACTGATTTTAAAAATGTAAAGCAAATTAATCAACAGGCCAACATGTATTTAATATGGTAAATCTACATAAAAGTGGTGATCGATTTCGATTGGACGCTACAATCATCATCAGACCCAATTAGGCGTCTTGTGAGTAACAGTATAAGCATAAATATATGTTTTAAATGTATTTAATGTCACAGGTTTTTTAAAAACTCAAATAAATTTGAATGAAATAACAATTAAAAATAATTTATTAACCATCAGAATAATAAACTTTTGCAAAATTATCATAATATAAGTAGCTTAATACCGGGTGTACAACACTGACATGCTATAATGCTTCAACATCAACAACAAATGTTTACAAATTTACTGAGGACAACTACTGACTTAACAGAAGAGCTATATGATGTGCAAAGAAAGTATGAATGAGTAACCAAGTTTTACACAAAAAAAAAACAAGTTAAGTTTACCAAAGAGTAAACAGTTTCAATCGGGATGTTTATTTGAAAAGAACATACATTGGGTTGCTTAGCAAAATTACCTAACGGGTCGTTGTGTGTTAGAAGCTGGATATCATTCTCCTTGCAAAATTCTTGAAGTGCTGGTGGTACGACACAACAACTGGCTAGGTTTATCTGTACGATGCTTGGCTTGGTCTAGAAATAAAAATTCAGTGATTATATTTATTTGCATACTTTATGTCTTACAGAGGGTAAATTTATAAGTGTAGGCCTCCAGTGTGATCAAAGTACCTTTGTTGCACTTCTGACACTCAAGACTATTCTGAGTGGAAATAATTCCTTCGCAGGCAGTAAAATCATTTAGCACATTCATTAATTCAAAACGGTACTTTGGTATTATCTGGAGGCCACTTATTTTAGAGGGACTTTTTACCGGAGATCAAAAATAACTACATAATTGGAAAGAAGATACTTTAATTGACATTACTGTCCAAATTTTACATGATTATGATTTGCAGCCTTTGATTTCTGCCTCCCAGAAGGCAGCAATGTCAGCGAGGATTGAGTTGAATGTGTCCGTGTCGCCGCCGCTATACTCCGCCAAGTAGGTATACAGCGTGCTGCGGCAGTTATGTTAGTTTGGGTTATCATAAATATGTTTGTAGCACTTCCTCGTTTTGTTATGAATCGAACTATACCCTAGATGAGTCATACTTTCGCCCGCCAAATGCCCCAGATACATGCGGTAGGTGATGCGCACGCTCCGGTCAACGACCTGGCCTTGGTCTACTTGGAGGGGATTTGGCGTGCAAAAGTATGACTCATCTGGTATTGTTCGATTCATAACGAAACAAGGAAAGTCCTACAATCATATTTATGATAACCCAATCTAACATAACCGCCGCAGCGCGCTGTATAAGGGTGGCCTCCGGATAGTTCCAAAGTACCAACTATACTAAAAAACTATCTAAATATGTAATTTATAAGACCATATGAGGAATACAGTAGAATTTCTTGTGTCCCGCCACACCTGGATGAAGCCTAGGCTGCTCAATGGTTAGGCTAGATAAACAAACCAATTGTGAAAAAGCGAAAAAGGCAATTTAACCCCGAATAAAATTATATACTTTTACAGTTCCGTTAATAATGGCTTGAATATTATTTTAGCTCATTTGTTGACAAAAATAACTATAAATATTTTAAAAGGCTACTATTCATTACTGACTCCACTGGATCTGACTTGTTGCATACACAGTATAAGAGATGACGTTAGATATTTTGTAAATAGATTTATTACGCTCTACCAGAAACAAATGGAAGTAAACAAAAAGTACTGAAAAAAGTCAGAGGTAAAATTTTTTGTTGAGAACGGTCAGAAATACATTACATTTTTATATAATTCCAAGTATCGGCTGGTTAACCCGAGAGTTATGTAGGGCTATAATGTAGTTATTGCAGTTTCAACCCCAAAAGCCAAGATAAATATCCTTGTTGGGGCCAAACTGATAAACCTTTTCTATTAAGAACACTACCTACCTAATGATTTGTATCCAAGAGGGTAAGAATAGTAGCCTATGTTGTATTGTCCATTTATTCCTATTCTATTCCACAAAATCTTTTAACCTCAAGCTGTGATAAGAAACTATAGCCAAATCTAGACCTTCGGGTGATGATTGCATCGTTGAAAGCGTAAGGTTAGAGGACAACGTTTCGGATGCGTAGCTATCAATCTTCAGGACAAACTTCTGTACTGAAGTTGAAACAACTATTCAGTTGAATAGTTTGAATAGCTTATCATAAAGATTAAGAAGCAAAAGCATTTGATTTGATAGTGAAACCCCCAGAGTGAATGGCCCTAAGCCATTCATCGATTACTTCACCTCGGCAGAGTTGTAAAGAGTGACAAACAAGTCAGTGTCCACATCACTGAGGCCGATACGACTGACACGTCCACTCTGTACGTTTGTCTCCAGGACCTTCCACAAATGTTGGATCTCTGAAAGGCGAGTACTCGCGTTGCCCGATGTGTTGGCGTAAGCCAGAACCACAGAGTCTATGTTCTCTGTCTCCAATGACTGAAACACTACGCAATCACACTTAGTGTCAAACATGTTGATGGTTAAAGTATCGTATGAAAATGTTATCCTTTTATCTGAGTTTCTACATGAAGCCTATTAGGGTGATAAATGAACCCCAAGTTTCAAAATAAACCTTATCGTGAGGTATGATTTTTTTCAGTGTGTTTGAGAAATAAATATGCCAAATTAAACTTTTTGATTGACATCATTTTTGCATTTAATTTAGCTAACTTACCTAATTGTTTTGTATGGGGAAATCTTAGTAATGAAACATAATTATTATTTACCATTTTACAAATCTTTTACACTGCTTAAAAATGTGCAGGTCACGTTTATTGTACAGTAAGCTACTTAAAAGATGTTCTTTTCATGTTTTTAGATTATCTATTTTAGAATTCTTAATTTGTCACAAGTCAGCCTGATGGGAACAACGGACTATTTAACTTAAAATCCATAGGCCTACTTTTATTTAAAGGTTTATCTTCACTGTATTCAAGTTCATTTGTGTTTTTATTGTATTTGTTACTAAATTACTGTGAATTTCATTATGGAATAATTGTGACCTGTGTACTGTGTATCCGATTTGAATGGAGAAAAAAACATTCTATTCTATTCTTCATCATGTAACAACAATTTTACCACTTCTACACATGACATGTATAATGCACATTGTGCAATTTTGTTAAAATTTGTATCTCTGCCTGGGCTATGATAGCATTTGAAATTTTATCAAAATTTCAATGTATTGTAATCTAAATGCTAATTTGATGACACTAGACTTACTCTCGCATTCTAGCACCTTACACCTACATATGCCTTTGTACTCGCACACAAGTTGTAGGCCTACTTTTCTTCTTGTAACTTATAGTCTAGATGTTAGGGGTTTTGATTATTTTAGTTTAGTTTGGCTAAGGTCTTGTCCTGTTGTGTCTAATACGAAAAGAAGTCCACTGTAATAGTTAGGTGTGCAGGCTAGCCTACGAGGTTATTCTACTCACACTTGTCTATTGCTTCTTGAAGTGCTTCCTGTTTGTCACTGGTAATAAACACTTTTACACTTGTTCGAAGCTCCTTACTGTCAACGCCAGGTGGATTTGAGACTTTGACTGTTTCATCATTGATCTTAACTTCTAGATCGGGGCCAATGACATCACTTGGAGGCTTCCAATCTTTTAAAGCAATTTTCAAACTCTCAACCAACTAAAACGGATAGGCTAATTAAAACTTCATGTTAATAATGTTCCATTTATAAACTTATAAATTCAGAGTTTTCCGACAGAAACAGTCTTTTCAGCTCAGGGTTGTTGGGCAGTCCCTTAGCTTAATATAATAAGTTATTTAGAAGAAAATCCCAACGTTAAAGAATTTATTTGAAATGTTTCTTTTCCCTAGTGCTTATTTACACCATAGATTTGTTGTAAGAGAACCCAATCCCTGATCTTCCTACTATCAAACGTCGACAGCCTTCACGATTAACTAACTGGAAGGGTAATGACAAATGGCATTTAATCTTGCGTGGAATCAAACCAGCAACCTTCAGATTGGAAGGGGAAAAATTGGACTTGGCTACCCAGATAATTTTGTACAGAAGATACAATATCACACTCTAATTTTAGGCTGGCACCGTGCCATGTAGGCCTATACCATAAAGACATCGTACGATTTATAACTTTATTGCTATTTGTTCATTAAAAATGTTCAGGAGATGAACAAACCTTTAACAAAACAGCTGTTTCTGACTAAGATCACATATTTAGTGTGGCCTTGACCTACATTACGTTCCGATATGTAATAGCTTCCTAATTATCATATTAGCATTTTGTAGCTTGAATTTAAAGTAACTTAGCGGAAAAGTTACAGATGGGAGGCCTACAGTTTCTTAACTTGGCTAACTTACCCTAATATCGATTGAAAATATTGATTCGATTACTGAAGTAAACCTTTAGCAACTTAATGCAGTATACATAATTAAATTGGGCTACCTACCTCTTCTGATGAGTTTTGTCCAGCATTCTTCTTCACCTCATTTAAATTTAAAATGTTGCCAGTATGCACGCAAACCTTGCTCACTGACTCTGGAATATTCACCATCATTGATGAGTTTTTTCCTTTGAGGATTGTTATCACTTCCCTATAAACTTGTTATCTAGCTTTACTAGATTAATATGTCTCAAGGTTAAGATAAGTTTGGTGTAACTTAAGTTCTCAAGTACTGTACTGTCAACCCAAATTATAACCTATACCTTTTAGATTGCACCACCTACAACAAACAACTTTAATAAGAGAAAGATTGAGGTTATGTTATCTTTACTTTTATAAACTTACGCCAGCTGTTACCTCCTACCTTCCATCCCACCAATCCTAATCCTTCCTTAATTAGATGTTGGATCCGTTTTGCAAATTGGGATCGTGAAGACAGTTAGCTAAGCTAAAGCTAGTTCAGCTCTAAAGAAAGTTAAAGTTTGATACTGTTTATACAATTAAAAATTATAATTTTCATTATTTCGATATAATGACAACATTTAATATTTCATTAGTTGACTTGCGTTCCGCAACATTAGTATAAAAGTGCGCAAGTATTACTTGAAAGTTTTTAGAAACTTTTCAATCCAATCCAATTATGTTGCAGTACAAAAACGATGGCTGAAAATGTAGTGGAGTGACTCAGACAGAACTCAGACTAGACTGCTGACTGCTGCCAATGACCGTGACCGTGCGTGCTGTCAAATTATTTCGTCTGCCTTTTTTCGCTTTGTTACTTGTACTTCTGTTCTGTTTCTAACCCTAACCAAACTAACAAAACAATATAGTGAACCACTGCAATTAAGTATTCAGCTCTAACCTTGGAAAAGTTTGAGTTGAATGAAAGAGAAAACTTCTTGTCTAGTTTGGCTGTGCTGACAAGGCAGTTTTGAAACCCTCTTTTTTCTTTTGAGGTGAAACAAATTGCAAGCCTTCAAGTTATAATGGCCATTGATTACATAAGTTTTGCATACGCCGCTTCAGTTGCTGCCGGTGGAATCATAGGATATGTCAAAGCAGGTAACTTTGCATACCCTACTATTTTTGGTACTCTTTGTATCACCGATCACTCCAGATTAGGTAGGTCATAACTCATAAGCTACCAAACATTCAAATGCAAGTTATGCATTTTAACGGCTTTCCCTAGGCCTATAGGGAAGTACAGTAGCTATTAAACAAGACCTGGCCCAGGACCGATTTACTTTTTCATTTTGAATCACCCAGAGGCCAAAAACACCATTCTTCAAATTTGTATATAATAGCCTATGTAGGTAAGTTATATATAGGCTAACATTATACAAACAGATGTATACAAACATTTGAACAATAATGGTGTTTTTGGCCTCTGGGGACATAAAAATGAAAAAGTAAATCGGTCCCGGGCTTAGGTCTTACCATGAGACCTACAGTAATAGCTACTTCCCTATAGGGAAATTCGCTAAAACCTGGTGAGGTCGGTATGACCGAAGAGTACCCTATTTTTAGGTCTAGACTTACATTAGTGGATCACTTCGGGAAACCCCCTTAATACACCATTGCTGAAAGACATATAAGTCAACCAGTGTTTTTTTCCCAATTTTTTTAATGTTAAAAACTTTAATACAGGAAAAGCTGTCCATCCCCCTCAAATTGTGGTGTAGGCCTACCTGGGACTCAAATTCACCCTCTTGCACCAAAGTTTGAGACCCTAACCACAAGGCCATTAACACAACCAATTAAACCATTACAACTTTTATTTATTAATTTTAAGTTAGTTGCTTTTATTTTACATTTCAACGTACAGCTCCATTTTGATATTGGTAGGTACAAACTTATGATCTAGACTTACTTACAACTAGTACAATACAATGGTTGATAGTAGCCTAAATTGAATGAAATTAGCAACATGATGGATTGCTGTCCTATTATTTTTTTTAAACACTACTGTACAAAGAGTTTATCAACATACAGTATATAACATGCACATGTCTCTAAAAATGCTAATTATTTTCAGATTTAAAATAGGTATGTTATCCAACTATATACTTGATGTCAAACTTAAGCGTTATTTCTTTCCTCCTAGGGAGTATACCGTCACTGGGAGCTGGCTTGTTGTTTGGAAGTGTCTTAGGTTTTGGAGCTTACCAGACATCCCAAAACCCCAACAACTACTATACTCTATTAGGTACCAGCACGGTGCTTGGTGGAGTGATGGGTGCTAGGTTCTACAACTCTGGAAGGTTTATGCCTGCAGGACTTATCACAGTTCTTAGGTATGTATTCGTTACAAAACATATAAATAAATCCACGTATCATTTAAATGAACTTTTTTGTCTCGATAAATGACTAAAATAACTATCAGTGATCCAAGAATGCCAGGATGTAATACCGGTATTTAAAATTTCACACTGTACCTATTTCTCAAGTACAACACAATGAACTTATATGCTTAGGCTACTTGGTAGCTCATTAGAATGTATCATCATTTAATGAAATAATCCTGAATGGAAAGAGTTGATTTTTGTTAATTTATTCAGACATTTGACAGCAGTTTATAGAATACAATTTTATAATAGTATAGATTACTAAACATACATCTACTGTCTGTGAAAACAAAAGCTAAGTTTAGATTTTATCACTGTAAATTACACCGATATTTGCATAGTTAACAATACTTGCAGCAGTTTACTGCTTTGTAAAAAAATCAGAATACAGTAGACTCCCTTTAATCTGGACTACTCGGTACCGAGGCTAGTCCAGATAGAGGGGTTTCAATTTAAACAGTCATCCCAAATAGCTTATTTTACTTAAATTTGGGATATCAGTGTATCATTGACTGTGATTTTATTCAGACACATGATCACTGGTCTCAAATCTTTCCCTTGAGAAAAGTTGTTTCAATACCGCCCACTTCCTGCCAATTTAGTTAAAGATATGTCATTTCCGTCGAGTGTAATCACGGTTAAAAGATGTGGGGATAAGAGAAAGTCTACTGTACATTATTTAAGTTTTTTTCTGTAAAAGGTTGTTTCATTATAAATAAGTTGTGCACCAAATTTGCCTATCTAAATAATTGATTTTTCTTTTCATTTCAAATTTCGTTACTCTAAGCCTGTTTAAATTATTTTGTCAAACAATTAAAATCAACATTATATCAATTAAATAGGCTCTAAAGAAAAACTAGTCAAATGTTCTGATTTAATTCATGTTTTCAGTGTAATGATGATTTGCCGACTTGGAGTCAGGGCTCTGGGCCTTAACGCCATGGACAATTTCACACGAGACAAGTAAATTACTACACTCAAGTCCAAGGTTTGTCTGGTCTCTCAGTAAATGCAATTCAGCAAAGAAATAAAAGTGGGTAATGGTATAAGACTGAGAATCCTCTGCCTGCTATAAACTTGTTTTCATATTAATGAAGTGAAGGAGACTTTAAACACCTAAGTTGTATGAAATACTGAGTGTTGCAAATTATCATTGTTTATGTAGTTTATTGATAATGTTGAGTAGTCGATAATGTAGCAAACACTGTTAACCAGTATTTGTACACCCTTCACATGTTAATTTAAATCTGAATTTATATTTTTTGTTGTATGAGTTTATGAATTGAGCTTTATTGCAATATAGTCTGCCAACATTTGTATTGTTCTAATGTATTCATTTTTTTATAAAGATAAATAAAACAATTTGTACTATCTGCAGTCTTTCAAATGCTACTTCCTGTTAAGAGTCTCTTACAAAAAGGTAAAACATGTCATGAGTGACCCCACACTGCCCGCCTGTCCACACAAACTTCCCCCTCGGGCCATACCTTCATAATGCAAATAGTCTGAGAGTGATGAAACTCTTAACTCAAAACTCTATTTCACGGTTCCATTGATACGGTAGATATTTCAGCGAATTTCCCTGTGGGAAGTAGCCATTACTGTTTTTATTATGTTTGTAATCAATTGCAATATTTGGAATTTTATACTAGTAATATGTACAATTATTTTGTGTAGGTATTGTCACTATCAGTTAAAGTATCTTGTATGCTTTGAGAAATAAATTTTTACTTGTTTGCTATCAACCTTCAGTGTGATTACAGTAGAACTCCAATAATCAGAATCAATTTGGACCGTAACACATTTGGATAATCAACAATTTGAATTGGGGATTTTTACACAATGATTTGGGATATTTTATTGAAAATAGGCTGAGACGACCTGAGCTCTTATTATTACAATCCTCATAACGGGTCTGCGATAATTTTGTGATGAAAAAATCAAATTTTCCCCGTGATTATGATTACAAGTATTACAACAACTATGATTTTCCGTGACCATGGGAAACGATGATTCTACAAGATCGCGAAAGATATTCAAGATTGAGCCGCAATCTCGGGAAAAGGGATGACAATTCCGTGACCCCGGGAGATGACGATGATGTCTACAAGACCGCTGAGGATATTCAAGATTTTTCTGCAATTACGGAAGTCAATGATGATGTCTCCATGACCATGGGAGACGATGATGATTTCTGCAAGACCGCAAAAGGTGTGCAAGATTTTGTTGTTATCGTGAAATATAGTGATGATTTTTCGTGACGGCGGGAGATGATGTACCTCCAAATTTTTTATTTTTATTTTGCTGCGATCACGGCCTTTGCCTTCTTTAAAATGATTCTTATTACTGTATTGTGACTTTTTTTTTCATTCTTTCTGCAAGTTCTTTTGTACTAGATAGTTCATGTATATGTTATCTTTTATCCATTTGCCAACTGACTTTTTAAATATATATTTGAGCAAAACGATACTATAATAAATAAAAAATCACCAAATTATCTTCTGAGTTAAATGTTATTTTGCTTAGTCCTCAATGCAATTGGCTCAGACATATTAGTCCAGTCAAGGAATGAGGTGTAGAGTGCGTGAGCAGGTAACTAAGCGATTCCTTCAGAAACTTGTTCAGGGGGCTTAGGGTGTTAACATACCAAAAGTCCTGACTCCTAGGTGGTGAGCCAGGGGGTGGAGGGGGGGAAAAAGGTACGCATTTTGGGGTTTTTTGATTATATCTCGAAAACTATCAACTTTTTGTATACTATAGTAAATTATAAAATTGAAGAAGATTACATTTTCTACAAGAAAAGTATATAATGTGTTTATTTTGGTTCAACAGATTACGAGTTATAACTTATTTAATTGATATCTTATTAAAATCTCCTTCCATAAGAAATACATGTAAATTAGTATGCGAAATGGGGCGAATCCTATCCGCCCAAAGGAAATATAACTGATATTCTGGAAATCTTGACAAAATTTCCAGTAATTTGACACTTTAATCATTAAAATTGATCCAAAATTAAGGCGAGGGCGAGGTAACAAAATGTCGAGTTTTGGTGTTTTTTTATTGGAAATATAAAAAAACCTTAAATCATCCCATTTTTAAACGCTCACCCTCGCTTTAATTTTTGACAAAATTTCATGATTTAAGTGTCAAATTACTGGAAATTTTGTCAAGGTTTCCAGAATATCAGTTATATTTCCTTTGGGCGGATAGGATTCGCCCCATTTCGCATACTAATTTACATGTATTTCTTATGGAAGGAGTATTTTAATAAGATATCAATTAAATAAGTTATAACTCGTAATCTGTTGAACCAAAATAAACACATTATATACTTTTCTTGTAGAAAATTTAATCTTCTTCAATTTTATAATTTACTATAGTATACAAAAAGTTGATAGTTTTCGAGATATAATCAAAAAACCCAAAATGCGTACCTTTTTCCCCCCCTCCACCCACTGGCTCACCACCTAGGAGTCAGGACTTTTGGTATGTTAACACCCTAAGCCCCCTGAACAAGTTTCTGAAGGAATCGCTTAGTTACCTGCTCACGCACTGTACACCTACTTTTGGATCATTCATTGACTGGACTATATGTCTTTATTGATAATAAATTTTAATTTTAAATTGGTCAAAACTCATGGTAATCAAATATTAAAACTTATTCCTACTTTAATCTTTTATGTAAACAAGTTTTTAATAAATGAAAAACCTATCGGGATTAGAAATAACAAAACCGTGATAAGAAATAAATAACTTTACCGTTTGATGTTGTATCAGTGAATTGAATCTGCTGTATTGTTGCATTAGATAGTAACTTACAGTCTGTATGATAGTTAAGTTTGTAGATAAAAGTTTGAGTAGCCATGACTGAGGCTACATACAAATTAGATTATCTCAGTATTGGGTATGCAGCTTTTGTGTTTGTTGAAGGTGCTTTGGGATATGTAAAGGCAAGTAAGTGAAACCGAGTAATTGAGTTGGTTCATTAATAATCATAGATTCATATTTTTCCTAAAAAAATCTTTTTTGTACCTATTTAAGCAGAGTATAACCTTAATATTTTGATTTAAATATGTAGCACTCTGTAGACTTGTGTTTAATATTGGTTTTACTGAGATAATTGAAACTCTGGTATGTCCAGCACAGCATGTAGCCTACTTTGAAAAATGTAAAATTTTGCCAAAAGTATCTATAAATGCTGCATTAATTTGTATCCATCAACATTTACATTGATAACTCTACTTGCCACTACTCAGGGCTCTTGTGGCATTGGAAAATATTCGTTTATTTGGACACACAAAAGTAAACCTTAGAAACTTAAGTTTCATTTAACTAAAACCGAAGGTCTTGATATTTTGAGAACTAATGAAGTGGAACCTTGAAAGCGTTTTTGTTTTACACAAAGTTTAGATTGTCTGTAATAATTAATAAATCAAACAACAGCCACGTTTTGTTTTTTTTTTCACTGCCACTAGTGTGAAATTAAAATGTTAACAATGGAAAAGTGAAGTTAACTATCTTTTTTGGATTTGGCCGACGTAAACAAACAACGATTTGTTGTTGTTTCATAAACTGATTCAATTTGCAAAATCTAAAACTGTACAATCAACATAAAATTTAACTTTAAATTGAAGGCTTTAAAAAAAATGCTATGAGTTACTAACCTACTAACTACAATAAAGAAATATCCAATGTCTGTTTTAATTAAGAAAATAATTTGTTTTGTAGTGTACTAAAAAAATTAACGTTCAAAACACGAGTGAAAGTATAGTCTTTACATATTCTCGACCACATTTAAAGTGCTCGATAAATCTTGAACTTCTAATATATGGTCTCGCATATGTAATGACCCACTTTCTACTCTTGTTATGAAATTTACTATTTTACCACCCACTGAATTATTTAATAACATAACTATTTTTATTAACACCTGTTAACCCAGGAATAAACTTTAATAGGGGTACTAACAATACAGATTTAACAATTTTAATTTAACTACAACTAGTTGTTACCCATGGGTTTCACCCAAGGCCCCACTAGAAAAACAGGCCATGCTGCAGCCCGAGCAGTGCAACGCTAAAATCTTACCGTTAAAATCTGACAAACAGCTTATTTACCTAGAACATATGTGATATGGCAGTGAATTTATCAACAAATCTATCCACTAATGTGACGTCATGGATCCTGCAGCATGGCCTGTTTTTCTAGTGGGGCCTTGCTTCACCCCGTTTGACTTCATAAGTATTAATAAAACTATTGATTGGTTAAGTTAAGCTGAAATGAACAAAACAATACAGTACCGTAATACAAACAAATAAAATAATTACACCTGATTTTAATAAGGTAATAAATTAAACGAATAACAAACAAGTAAGTACAGCCGGAGCTGAGATAAATAAATTTTAATCAAAATTGTTAGAGCTGTTTTTAAAATATAATTTTTACTTTTTAATGGGGAAATGACAAGAATAAATCAAAATTTCAAATGAACGTTTGGTTGTGGGTTTCATGCTGATTAGATTGGGTGAGGTTCATAATGTCCAAATTTCACAATCTCCAACGTCTAAAATATTAAATAAACAGTGCGTTTCATAACCTCCAAATTTCATAAACTCCAAAACTATAACTTTCAAGTAATCGCCGATTCACAATGTCCAAATTTCACAAACTCCAACGTTTAAATCAAATAAACAGAGCGGTTCATAACCTCCAAGTTTCATAAGCTCCAACGATACAGTCTCTGCCAGAAGTCGCTGCAGAGGTTGCCGTGGTTCGGTATGTAGGCGCTACACGTTCTACTGTTGTAGCGGCGCAACACGAAGTATCTTTGTTGCTCCGTAATTGCTTTCTTAAGAGATTGATTTGCACATTGTGTGCTAACACATATTTGAGTCACACATCTGAGTTAAAATGTACGTATAATCAGTAGTTGAGCGCTGGCGAACGGTGCCTGCTATCTGACTGTGGCAACCACTAGAGAGACTTCTGGCCCAGACTGTACCGTTGGAGGTTATGAAATTTGGACATTATGAACCGCTCTGTTTATTTAATATTTAAACGTTGGAGTTTGTGAAACTTGGACATTGTGAAACAGTGATTATTTGAATGTTATAGATTTGGAGCTTATGAAATTTGGAGGTTATGAACCGCTCTGTTTATTTAATATTTTAAGCGTTGGAGTTTGTGAAATTTGGAGTTTGTGAAACGCTCCCATTAGATTTGGGTCTACTGATGATGACTAAATTTTTCTCTCTTCTTTTAGAAAAGATTTTCTACTTTACGCTCAACTAATTTATACTGCCAGAGGACAAGCAGTAGTTTTTAAAGTGGACAAAAAAAGAAGAAACAAATAGTAAACAAAAATATATATGCTATATATAAACCACCCAAACTTTTAGAACTAACCTTAAAGCTTTAGAACCTTTATTTTATGATCTATAAGAATGTCAGGTCCTAGGAAGCATGTTCATATTGTTAGTTCTATCTGGTTCATGTACAGTTAGATGGCATATTTTTGTTTAAAATTTGTTTCTTACTATTTTAGAACTATTTCAACCAGATAAAGCAATCTAATTGTAGACACAAGCTCGTATTCTGGTTTTGTAATAAAAAAAATAGGGCGACAAGCATAAAATTGACCCTAAATTTCATTATTACAAGAGATAAAAATATTTCACTGACACCAACACTCAATCTCACCATTATGAAACACACATAAAAAACAGGCTACAGATTTATCATAGGGTGCAAAATGTATTATTGTTGTATTCAAAGTCAATTGTTTGAGATTGATTACAACCCAGCAATAGAGTTTAAATACATTTATTAACTGATAAAACTGTTGAATCACCCTTAAACATACGCCTGCTTAGCCTTAGACAAACTTGACGTTGTTATGACACAGGTAATTTTTACCTACTTATAGTACATCACTCTTTTTGTATATTAGGTAGCGTCCCATCTCTTCAGTTCAGTGGATTGTTGGGGGTGGGGGTGTACCAGGCGGCACACAACCCCCGCCACTGGCTGACCCCTCTACTCACTAATTATGCCTTGGCGGGGGCTATGGGCAAACGCTTCATGCGCTCCAGTAAAATGTATCCTGCTGGATATATCACATTGTTCAGGTACTGGAGTGATATATCTTCATCTAGTATACTACATGTAAATATGGTGGAATTATTCATGCCAATTTGCTAAATATTATTGAGCTTAGTAGTGGTTTTGATTTTTATCAAACCATTTTTGTGCTCTCATTCTCCGATGGAGTGTATTTTGTCAACTGCTTTACTGTATTAAATTTTGTAATCTATATATTAATTTGAAACAGTTTTTCTTTGTCATAGCTATTTTGAGAGAACGGCTGGGTGTAGAAACTCGGTAGAGGTGTCTAAAGAAAGGTCTTGGTCTGTAGATGAGCCATCAAAAGAGAAACATGGTGAATTCCCTTGGGGCTCTGCCCCAGTGGCCTTTAAATTCCTATCCCATGTTATTCTTATGGAGGAAAACGGGGTTTTTGTCATAGCTAATTTGAGAGAACGGCTGGGCGTAGAAACTTTGTAGGGGTATCTAAAGAAAGGTCTTGGTCTGTAGATGAGCCATCAAAAGAGGAACGAGGTAAATTCCCTTGGGGCTCTGCCCCAGAAGCCTTTAAAGTTGCCGCTTCAGATTTGTTTACATTACGACCATATGCATAATACTTTTTAATGAAACAGCTGTTAATATTTAAATTGTGATTTATTGAATTTGTCAAAATGAAGTACAGTAGCCTATTTGCAATGGGTTTTTCTGATTTTAAATTGGATTTTCTTCTGCATCGATTCATGTTTTGCAATATAATGTTCTATTACCAAATCAGTGGAAAATCCTAATATCACAGTAACTCTTAAAATTATTCCTTTTGGAGTTAACTTATATCTATTGTATGGGTTGGTTTCTGCCTTTTTTACCACTTCTTGGTGATTGTACGTAGGTGATATTTGTTTAATATTGCATCTGTAGACGAAACTTGGGTTGGTGTAATTATTACAATGGAAAAGAGCGAGAAATCCTGGCCAATTTGATATAGGCTAAAAATAAAACTGAATGAACACTGTTCTACATTTCTTGAGCAATCATCAAAATAATCAATTTGCAAACAATGTAAACATAGAAAAAGTCATAGAACACAACCAAGAAGAAAAAATAGAAATAATTTTTTTTTTCATTTATAATCGTTGTCATAGACAACCTAATGCGGCTATGAGAGGGAACAATTTTTAGAAAACACTAAAAAACAAGATAAGCTTTTTGAAAAAAGATAAGATATTTACAAAAGATATTGATTATATCTAACTGTTGTGTAGTTCGTGAGTATTTCCATAATCTTTGAGTCGCCTGTAATGCTTCGCAATTGCTCGAATTCGAGCAACAGGTACACTAGTCTTCATTATATTGAATTTTAGCCTCCTGATAACATTTAAATACGAAATAATTAGTGTAAATACCTGCATTTATGTGATCAATGTGTTGCTAAATTGCAAACCAGTTTCAACTCGCAAAGGAGTCATCGTTGGGCCAGTACTGATGTCTTCTTGCTTCATTCGATGGTTGTCAATTCATACGGTAATAAATAAATTCATTTAACACATAATGTCTAGGCATAACCTTATGTCTAGACATTATGTGTTAACCCCCGCCCGATCACGTCGTGTCCCGTTACCATTCTACAGTAGTATTACTCCTCTTTTTTAACCCTAAATGTTCGTTTTTATGTACGTGTGCGTGTTAAATGTATTTATTTATTATGAATTGACGACCTTCAAATGAAGCAAGAAGGCATCGGTACTAGCCTGACGATGACTCCTTTGTGAGTCGAAACCGGTTGCAATTTAGCAACACGTTGATCATATAAATGCAGGTATTTACACCAATTAATTATTTAGTTTGTAAATCTGCGTTAGGCCTACTATCACTATTATGTGATGAACTCAAGTAGTATCCATTAATAACGTAATTAGTGATCAAATAAATGTAGATTTTGGAATTATTCAAGGTTCTACAATAGGGCCTTTACTATTTTTAATTTACATAAATAACATAGATAAAATTGATATTTCTGGAAAAATATTTTTGTTTGCAGATCAAAGTCAAAGTCAAAATAAACTTTATTCGTATGAATACATTGCAGCATCAGAATAGAGTCACATATAACTAAAAATCCCATACTTTCATGCTATATAGCTAAAATACAATATATTTAAAACTATATATAAAACCCAGGCAACCAGTAGTGGAGCCCTCACTTAAGGAAACTCCGAAAAAGAATAGAGAGCTTTATTAACAAGATATTCTTTCAGCAATTTTTTAAATTTATTGCAATTTTGCTCATTTCTAATTAAATTTGGCAACTGAGTAAAAAATTTGGTGCCCATATATTTAGTTTTGTTTTTATAAAAATGCAGATTATGTTTTTCAAAAATAATTTTATTTCGGGTATCATAATGATGCTTGGATTCAAAAAATATATCACTTTCATGTTCTTTGACATACTTTATTGTTTCTAAGACATAAAGACTGTAAACTGTCAAAATTTTAAGATCTTTAAATAAGTTTTCGACACTCTCTGTGCTTTTTAAACCTAACATGATTCGTATTGCTTTTTTTTGTTTTATCAGAATTTTGTCCAAATTATATATTGAGGTAGCTCCATATATACAAATTCCGTATGCCAGATGAGAGTGTATTAAAGAATAATATATTGTTTTCAGCACTGTAAGGTCAGATATTTTTGACATTTGCCACAGTGCATATATTCCTAATGACATCTTTTTCACTACACTATCAACATGATCATTCCAAGATAGATGTCGGTCAATGAAAAGTCCTAAAAATTTTGTCTGATTTGCTTTATTTATTATGTTATTGCCAACTTTGATTTTTGGATCCAGAGCTATTTTATTTTGTTTTGTGGAGAAACTTACTATCATTGGTTTGCTTGTATTTAATAGAAGGTTATTTTGATTTAAAAAATTTTGAATACTCATTAAGTCCAAATTGGCTGAGAGCTCAATATCAGAACTGGAATTTCCTTTGACAATTAAATTAGCATCATCTGCATATAGTGACATCGAACTGAAGCTGGTACTCTTAGGCAGACCATCCAGGTAACACAAAAAAAGTAATGGACCCAGGATGGATCCCTGAGGTACTCATACTTAATAACCTGAGCATCACAGACATAGCTTCTTAAATAATTACAATAATTACCATAATCTAGATATTTCATTTCAACAAACTGATGCCTATTACATAAATAAGAGGAAAACCAAGCACACTCTTTTCCTTGAATACCCAGTGATTTTAATCTTTCAATTAAAACAGGGTGTGACACACTGTCAAAAGCACGGGAGAGGTCAAGGAAAATACCCACCACCCTTTCACCCTTATCAACTGCATCAATTATGTTTTCAATAAATTCAACTGCAGCAGTTATTGTGGACTTCCCTTGCCGAAAACCATGCTGCTCTTTATCTAACAAATTATTCGATTCTAAAAAGTTTACTAACTGATTGTATACTATCTTTTCAAATATTTTTGAAAAGGATGATAGCAATGAAACAGGTCTATAACAAGTTATATCTTTACGGTCACCTTTTTTAAAAATAGGGATAACTTTTGAAATTTTTAATTTCAAAAGATTTCAGATGACACAGCGGTAATCTTTAGGGCACGTACTTGGGAAGAGGTTTTTAATATTGCATCATCAGAATTACAAATATTAAAAAGATGGTTCTCAGAAAACATTTTAACAATGAATGTCAGTAAAACAAAATGTTTGCCTATCGCACTTTGTCCCGCTAGCGAGCCGCCCGCCGAACTCAGACTAACCTTGCACTCATGTGGCACCGCAGGCAGCGATTGCAACTGCCAAATTATTGAAACTGTGTCGCAGTATAAATACCTGGGCATTATAATGGATTCTAAATTGAAATGGAAAAGTCATATACATTTTTTAAAAACAAAACTTAGAAAAATGATTTATGGTTTTTACCAATTAGGTCAAATTTTACGACATGAAGAAATTAAAAGAATTTATTACGCCTACGTTCAATCTCATCTGCAGTATGGTTTAATAGCTTGGGGAGGGGCTTATTCATCAGTAATTGAACCTTTGTTCGTAATTCAAAAATCAATAATTAGAGCTGCGTTAAGAAAACCGAGACGTTATTCTACTGATCATCTGTTCAAAGAATCCCAGTTTTTATCAATAAGGCAGCTATATGTTAAAGATTTATTAGCTTATTCATACATTCATTTAGACCTTATAGCCTCGCCAGTAGTTCATAACTATCATACCAGAAACTCAGTGATGATAGGATTACGGGTCCCAAGAGTTCTCAAATCAATCAATTTAACAAATTCCTTTTACATTGCTAATTGCTTGTTGCGTAATATTCCTCCAGAAATTAGGGACCTGCGAGTGTCACTGAGTGTATATAAGAGGGTTATCGCTAATTGGCTGATGGAGATAGGCCTTGACAATACAGAGTCGCTTATCAGCCCAGAATATCTCGTTTAGACCTAACCATCTGATAACTGGACTATCTATTGTACCTTCCACAGCACTCTTACTTGACTGAATCCACGCCTCAGTAAAAAATTTGGTTTGAAAGAAAAAAGTTATGCTTTAGTCGGATGTATTGCAAACAATGTGCACCCCTTGTTATTGATTGCACGTTGCATATGGTTTTTTAGGTCATTTTATAACTGTTGTAGTATTAATTGTATATTGTTATTTTACCAAGTTATTGTTAGTTCTTTTTTTATGTGTATTGTGAAGTGTGAAGAACTTTTATTTTGACAGCAGACAGCTAAGGACTCTATCACGCACAGGTCATTGTGACCCATGTGATATTTTTATTTTTTTGTATTTATTGCTGCAAAACAGTGTGTAATAAATAAAGAATTTTCTCTCTCTCTCTCTCTCTCTCTCTCTCTCTCTCTATGTTAGAAATGTGGTTGGGTTGGATATTATATTACTTTCATAAAGTGATCCACATCGAAGATTGTGTTTATCTCTTCCCCAGTTTTGATTTTTCAAGCAAATTTGCCAATGCAAATTTTGAAATGTCAACTTTGTATTCTTAGTCCGCTACAGTTAATTAGGTATTACGCCTTAGTAACAAGTGATGTAAAACAATTATAACCAAAATATTTGTATTAAAATATTGTTTTTTGTATGACTTAAAAATTCAAGAAAATAAACCATAATGTACATGTTGAAAGGCTGTAACTGAATTGTTATTTTGCATCATCCAGAAATTTAAAACATTTAAAAATTTGAGGCTTGTCTGTTGGTTAAGGTCTCCTCCAGCTTCCATTTTGTGGCATAGCCTTCTCATAGCGAGCTACTATAGTTCAAAGCTGAGACCAACACCGTGTTCTTTACGTTATCCACTACAATTCTAGCAGGTTCCCACCCTTATGTAATGATTAGTGTTATCAGTACTAGCTGAAAATAATACAAAGGGAAATCAACACTCGTCGGCCAATGTTTTGTGATTAGATTACTGTGGTTTAAGGCATCATCTGTTCTATCAAGTCCATTGCCAGTTTTTACAGACAGGTTGATGAAGTCATATGTTTTGACACAGACAAGTTGAATAAGGGGTCGACGGTTTAACGGGTGATCGTAACATTTGTACGATTTTCCTCCTCGCTTGAGAGTGGGAACCGACTATATTAGTAGTAGACAAGTAATGAATGTGGTTTTGGGTCTCAGATTTGAACTAGTTTGCTTGAATGCGACAGGAGCTGGATTAGTTTTTCACACAACTCTCTTATAACAAATTTCCTGGATTGAAAATTTTTTTAAACCTTGCGTTGAGATCTTGAAATGCAATTAGGCCTAAGTTAATGTTATGAAATGAAATTATTTTCTATTCAGGCAAACTTAGAACAAGATCTACAGTTAGGGTAACATTTAAAGGTAACATGTAAACAATCTTCACTCTCCAACTCTTGGCAACACTGTAGGGCCGGGCGCACACCTGATGCGGCACAGCGCGACGTTTTGCCTTAAGGCGCCTTATACGACTAGTTTTCTATTATTTCAAATGGGGGTGCCGCACACATCATCGGGCACGGCAAGGCAAGTCAAAACAGCACCGTACGGCGCTTTGTTCTGCCTTTTCAATTTTCGTCTTTCAGGCAAAAAGCTTGAGGCAAAACAATGTGCGCATGCGCGAGGATCGACACCACGTTCAGCGCAGTGACAGCCCCTGTCGTCGAAATCTGTGCACTTCCAACGATTAGTAATTATGAATTTTTTCCGGATATGCTCTTAGTTCTGCAATGAATGGTTTCATGTCCTTTTTTGGTTGATGGGATGCACCAACGATTCTCTGTTAGGGAGATCATCCATTACATTCATTAGGTACCATCATTGACTATATAAACACAACAGTCAATGGTACCATATAGCAGCGATGGCAGCAGCCTCTTCTTCGCCTTCTGCATCCATTCTCACAAAATGTGTAGTACAAAGTGTCACAAAATGTACAAACAACCTCATAACACACAGTATCTCACTTTAAGAAACCATAGGATCGACCATGTGGGTGCTCAAGTCGCCTTGTTGTGCCATGCCGTATGCATCTCAAATCTCCATCGGGCACGGCAAGGCGAGGCAAAGACGTCTCGCCTCGCCTTGCCGTGCCGTGCTGTATCAGGTGTGCGGCCGGCCTAGTAACAACAGCTGGTGTAATTGTGATTGTACCTGTGAATTGAGTTAATCATGTATTCTTGTTCGTAAAATGAAAATTTACCCTTTTTTGGACCTGAAATATATAATCATTTTTAGCCATTTGTCTCTGTTACAGTTCTATCCTTGTGGTGCGGTTTCTAGTTCGAGCACTGATGAATATCTTTTAAAGTTTAAACCAAGCTACAAATTTTGTACAAAAATAAATGTTAGTGAACCAAAGCCTTTTCTTCAATATTCCTCTCTACCCTAATTATTACACAGGTATTTTTACTTAGCTAAAAGTAACCAGTAGGTAACACAAGATAGAGCACTTAAGTAATCGGCAAAGCATAAAGGAATTTGAAATCTTAGTTGAAACAGGTGATAAGACAATATTCTGGTGTAACATTGTTCAGTGTATTGGTGTAAATTTAATACTTTGTTTTGTGTTAAACCTATTAATGGTTAAACTTATTAACACGTTCGCTACTGCAATAGTACAAATTTTTCATTCACATGGACCAGCAACGCACATATTCGACGGCCGGTTTCCACTCATAGACTGCCGTCGCATATATGCCACATATATAAGTCACATTAAAATAGATTGACGACGCATATTTGCGTCGGGGTTCTAATGTTATTAAAATGCTTATATCTTTGTAACGGTCTATTTGAAGGCACTGAATTCCCTGCAGTGGTCTACAGAGATGTCTGACGCACAACTGCGTCGCTTGGTCTGTGGATATGATGATTGGTGACGTCATATGATAGTTGGAAAAACTGGTCTTTACTTTTCTGCATCACTGTATGTATGTATGCAGTATTTATGCTGCATTATCCTCTGTAGCTTTTATATTTGTTCAGTTATAAACTTTTCTAGAATTATCTGTGTTTTTTTACTTACTTTTACCTCAAAACACAAACAAAAATGAACTGTCGCATATATGCGACTTTTGGTCTATTTCAAGAAAACTATGATAATTTTCACTAGGTATTGACTTTGCTGTAGACCGGGCGTCGCAAATATGCGACGACAAAAGGTTATAACAAATACAAAAAAACAAGAATAAATTATTTACAAACACGGTTGTAGCACATTACTATGTTAATGATCACTGTTTTACAGGTTTTCACCTGTGGTTTGTGTGTACTGTTAACCAAGTGACAGCCGGTCTATGTCTAAGATTCAAATGTATACCTCGGTCTGTGGCAATGACCGCGGCGTCGCACATATGCGAAGCTCAGTAGCGAACGTGTTAATGCCTGTAATAGTATATTTCGTACCTAGGGCCGAAAATTATGTTTTACCGGCTCAAGATAGATTTTTACTGAACGATTGAGAGCTACAAAACCATTTTGGCCTGGTACGAATGCTATTTATCACCACAATATACCATATTACCACTATTCACCACAATTATAATGCACACTAACAGTCAACACAACTATAACTTTAAGGTTATGTGAAATATTTTGTGGAATTAGCAAAAATAACAATAAATAGTTGCCTATGCAGCGGTGACAATAAAACAAGTCAATTGCAATTTATATAGATACTGCTTGTGTATTTCATATACATTAATCTAGAAATCAGAAAATCTTGATGTTTTAACCCTTCACGGATGGGTGACAGATATATCCGCCTAAGTCTTTGTCGATAAAGGACGGGTGGCGGATATATCCGCTTATGGTTTTAGATATTCCAGACGGGAAGCGGATATATCTGCCTTCTCTTCAGACAGACTGGCAGGTGCTTGAGCAGTAACCTGATGTTTCGCAGTACCAAGGTGCTACTTTCCTGCGCTCTCCATGGCTGCCCTCTCCCCCGCACTCCCAAATCTCTCCGCTCCTATCCTCTCCCGCACACCACCCACCTCTCCTATGCTCCCCCCTCGACTTTCACGCTCAACACTACGTTGTCTTTATTTATTGTTTAGATATTGTTCTTTATTTATTGCCTAACGTTGTCATGGTCATATCTTCAAAGAGGGGTGGCGGATATATTCGCTGCTTTTCTACTCATCCGCAGACGGGTAGCAGATATATCCGCATAGTTAAAAACGAGAAAACATTATTTTGACAGAATGAAGTGTTCCATTGTGTTTATTTAATGTATATTTGTATAACAAAACACAAATAAGGAAAATTAATTTAATTGATTATTAATTGTGTTTTTATTTTAATATCACTTCAATTATCAAATGACAGACCTCCTTGTTTTTGGACTTCAGATAGTTAAAACAGTTATTCGAAAAACAGATGATTTTGTTTTTTTCTGTCTAGAATTTTAGTGTTGCTAACTGAATCGTAACATATAATGTGTGGTTTTTCATTCAGGCTGCTATGGCGTTAATACGTCCCCATCTGAGGAGTCTGTAGGTGAGGGAGTCATATACACAAACTATAAACCATATTAGAGGGTTAATAAATAGCAGTAAAAACCTTTAGAGGTTGTAAATATTACAAGTTCTGATAGGGATGCAACTGGGTGTATTTTTACGCAAATATAAATTATGAATAGGTGTTGAATGCAGTAAGATGTCTTGTGTAGTGCTGTTTTGGACTAAGATGAGCTCTGTATCTATGTACCATGTATGTCAGGACCATGTATTAAAATCTTAATGATCAGGAATAGCTGGTCCCACTAAGGAACCTTTAATAAGCTACTGACTTCTCAGGATCAAACTGGTAATTGATTACTATAGTTTGGCCGCTTAGAAAGCGACCTCCTCCAGCATTGGTTTAGCATTAGCGCGCAGGTCGTTTTCTAAGCGGCCGAACTATAGAACCAAAGATTACACATGTTATGTTTAATCTTTGCTAGTACCAATCAAGACAGGTATTAAGGCACTATAACCACTCATCTAACCAGCTTTAATTTCTTCTCTTTGGTACATGGCATATGTAAATATTTATGTTTATATGCATATGTAAATATTTAATGCCACTGGTGTTGATGGACACATAAAAAAGTAAAATTATGATAACATACCATGACTATAGCTTTGACTATTGATACAACTAGACACCCCATGCCCATGATAAAGTATTTGCCAGTTTTTAAATAAAAATCATCGTAGTTGAGCCACTGATAGATTGTGCTGTTATAAATTACTGATTTCTGTCCAATCCCTATTAACTCTTTTACCAAGTCAAACTGATGGATACAATCTTATTGTGAGCTACAGCAACTGGATTATGACCCATTATCTATGTCAGTAACAAAAAATAAGGCATAAACTAGAATTTTAGACACTGGGGCATCCTGTGACTTGCTCACACAACGATGATCTTTTTTAATAAAAATTGGCAACAGCTGATATAGATGGGATGTCTACTTCAGTATACAATAGTCGATGATTTTGTACTAGTACATTCACAAAATTTATGTGGTTTTAGGGGAAGCGATTCCATCCCCTCCAAGAAATAACAGCCAGCCAACAGCTGATCAGTTGATGTATACGTTAAGCTATAAAAGTTGTGGGGAAACATATGAAACATTTCCCTTAAACCGCCTAAATGTTGTGAACCAACTATGACTTAAATTCCCCACATTGCATCTCTGCATTTGCTATGAGTATTTGATAATATTGTCAGTTTCTGTGTTACAGTGAGTTGTGATGGCTGTGGAAGGAGTGTACAAATACCTACAGTCAACTAACAGGCCCTACAGTGCTAATGACATTGTACAGAACATGCACAAAGAGTTTGGCAAGACAGCTGTACAGAAGGCTTTGGACGATCTGGTTACTCAACAGAGGATTTATGAGAAGGTTATATTATTTATTTAATGGTACCTTAGACTATTAATTAATAACTTACCCCCACCTCAACAAACCTGAAGGCTATTAAACGAATTTCCATTTCCCTGATTATTGGATTTTGGCAAAAATATCTTGCTTTTTGTTATTTCAGTTACTTAACACCTCGTTTAAGCAAATAAAATGATCTAATCATACAATAGCTCTTCCCCTGGTTATAAAAACATAACATTAACAAAAATTCAAAATAACAATTGAAAAAAATAACCCTAAAGTAATATAAACAAAATTGTTATCAATTATCAATTGTCAACATTAGCGCTTAGTGTCACCTACATGAACTATACATGAAAAACAAGCTTATGATTTTACAATGGTATGAGAAGTCTGCTTGTGTTGGTTATTCTATGGTGATACCAAACTTAAATTGTTACAACCAATGCAACATATATACATGTTTATGCAACCAATACATGTTTATATAAATTTTAAATTATATTTTTTACAGGCTTACGGTAAACAGAAGATATACTGTGTAAAACAACCAGAAGATGATGGCCAGGACAATGATCTTGCAGTATTGGAAGCCGAGGTATTATTTTACCTACAAATTTAGTTTAATGAAAAATCTTCAGTCTTTCAATGAAATGTAAATTTTAAGAGAACGGAGGACAGATCAGAGACCAATCAGTATTACCAAGTACTTCCAAAAGCCCTGTGATAAACTTTTTAAAACCGAGGGTAAAAATGCTAGATCAACATTCAAATGGGAATATGGACTATGTAGTATTATAATAGGCCTTGTCTGGGTATGTACGTTGACTTTCTGCAATATTTTGCCAATTTTGTTCAGTAATTTACTCATTTTTAAGAAAGCCAAATGGAAATCCAACAGATAGGCTATATTAAAAAATTATGCAGCGAAAACTTAAGCATTGTATTACCTTATCACAGACAGAATACATTTTTGTATATTTGTGTTTTGGATACTGTACAGCATATTACATCTTAAATCCATTCCTTGTTTTTTTTATTGATTTACTCATTGTTGCAGACTGAAAAAGTTACTCAGAATTACAAGAATGTGGAACAAGAAGCCAAAGAAGCTGAGAACAGTTTGCGGGAGTTACTAGGAGCTCCGACAACTGCTGAAGCGAAAGAGCAGTTGGCAAAATTGGAAGAGAAAGTAGAGACTTTGCGAACAAAATTGGCAAAACTGTCAGAGAACACAGTGCTTGTATCTCCTGGTGAAAGAACCAAAATTAAAACGGAACATGAGAAGTTGTTAAAGGAATATCGGAAAAGAAAGAGGACATGTATGGACATTATCAATGCAATCATGGAGGGATATCCTAAGTCGAAGAAAGCTTTGATGGAAGAAGTTGGAATGGAAACGGACGAGGATGTTAAAATGCCAACAATACAGAGTTATTAAACCCTTGTGATAACATCTTTTTGTTGATGTTTGCTAAAAAAATAGTGATTGTTACATGTATTTATTTCAAAATATTTCCAGTATTGTTAGCTTTGTCATAGTGTTGTTAATGAATGAGAATTGATTTAAGTTGCATTAAATAAGTTTTTCTAAATTAAATGCACTGTTTAAAACCGGTTATAGAGTGTTCCTCATATCTCATTCTGTTTCCAATTTAGAATAGAATATAATAGAATAGACTTTATTTCCAAAAATGCTACAGATAATTACAGTTTTGATTTACAACAGTTAAAAATGTACAACTAATACGAAGAGTATAATCATAGATAAAACATACTCCCTTAGTAGATTTCTCATCCTTATGGAACAGCTGAAGACAATTTTATTGTTAGTTCATGTACGGTTTATGTAGAGGTCGTGTTTTGTTTACAATTTGTTTCCCGTTATTACAGCCATTTAAAACCTCGTTTAACCAAATAATATGATCTAATCATAAAGAATAACTTGTCCCCTAGTTATATAACCAAACAGTAAAGCAGAAATCAAGAAATTACCCCTGAAATAATTGAAACAAAGTTTCATCGACACTAGCGCCTTTGTGTCACGTACATGAACTAGACACGAAAAACGTGCTTCAAAATTTACAATGGGATGAGAAGTCTACTTGTGTTGGTTAGTCTATGGTATAATTAACATTATATTATATTACTAGCATCCTGGAAATATAGGACCTCTAAAGGAAAGCCTGTATAGAGGTTCCATCATTTAAAATTAACATCGTAATAATGAGTCAGAGCGAAAGTACTAACATATTAATAAACATGAAACACAGTGTACCAATAATATTTCTAAATAGAACGCCACAACACAATAACACTTTTTCAATTTTTAATTAAATAACAACATTTCTGTCCATATTATAATTATATAAAAAAAATAAAATATGCTTGGATTTTTAGAAGAAAATCGATATTTTCATTGAATAAAAGCCATATTTTCAATCGTTTAGAAAACAAACTTAAACTTTTGCATTGTGTCAATACTTCAGGGATAACATTAAACATTTTTGGACCTAAGAATTTGTAAAAAATACTGAATTAGGTTTGGGTACTACTACTTTTTGCTTACCTCTTAATTTGTCCTTGAACAAGTTATGTATTATAGGTTCTCACCACTTATAACATAGAAAATTCTTAACACCTTAAAAACAAACATATATTTAAGAGGAAGGATTTTAAAATTAACAAATAATGGACAAGATGGTTCCATCTTGCCCTTACTTTTAATCATTCTGACAAAATGTTTTTGCAGTTTGAACACAGATTTCAAGTTGGTTTCATACGCCCCTCCCCAGCAGAATAAACCATAGTCAATTCTGCTATGTACCATAGAGAGAAATATAGCATTCTTAAAACATTTTCTGGACATAAATTTCTTAGGAAATAAAAATATCTGAAATAGCTATTTAATTTATTCTTTAACTGCTCTATGTGACATTTCCAATTTAATTCTTGATCCAAGATTAAACCCAAATATTTGATCTTTTTTGTTTGTTCTACCGTGGCACACACAGAACACTGTGAATTATTACAAAGACAATCAACATATTTGTAACAAATAGAACTTAAAAATCTCTTTTCAAATTTTAAACTAAAATTTTTAAATTTTGTTTTTTCAGGGCTTAACAGCATTTGGTTTTTAGTAAACCACCATTTTAGGGCATTCAAATCCGAATTTATTGCTTCTTCTACATCTCTCCAATTGTCTTTTATGTAGCATAATGCAGTGTCGTCAGCGAAGGATGCTAGTTTACCTTTCAAATAAGCATTACAAAGATCATTGATATAAATTAAAAATAATATTGGACCCAATACAGAGCCCTGGGGTACACCATATTCAATATAACCTTTTTCACTTAAAGTATTATTAATTTTAACAAACTGTGTTCGCTGTGTTAAATAACTTTTGAACCACGAATAGGCTACCCCTCTTATACCACAATTAAACAGTTTTCCAAAAGAATTTTATGATTAACTGTTTTAAAAGCCTTTTTGATGTCAAGAAACATTCCAGTGACTTTTTGACCTGCATTTATCCCATTGTAAACACAATCCATAATTGCTGTCTTATTGCGAGATTGTCCAGTAACACTATTTACAGTTCTCCAATTTTTTTTAGAATCCCCATTACAATTTTTAAAAACACCATCATAATATGCTTTTTTTAAATTTCTGATTTCAACAACTAATTTATTTCTGAATGTTTTAAAATATTGTTTCAGTTTATAGGATGTTTTCTAACTTTGTCATATATTTTATTTTTAACTTTAGTATACAAATATAATGATTCATGAAAACTAAAGTTAAAAATAAAATCTATGACAAAGTTAGAAAACATCCTAATAATATTAAACTGAAACAATATTTTAAAACAATTGGTTTATATGATTGATGTTTAATTGACTCTTACCCATTCCATTGATGTAAACATCTTTAAAATTCTGTCTGTTTAAAGTTATGTATTACCATTGACTAATTAGTCAAAGGTATTACCTACATAAGATAAGAACATTGACTTGGGATTTGAGAAAGAATTTTGGGACGATAGTGGGCAGGTTCTAGCCCACCAGAAAAATTCCAAAGGTGACACATACTCAAATTTAGAATATTTTGAGATAAAGCACTCTGATACAAGAGATTTGTGTACTACCTGGTATCACTAATAATTAAGCTCTTCCCTTTTGCAGGTTTTGAAGCACTAAATCATTTATCATAGATGTGTACTGACTTTACTACACTTCTTAATTTGACATAATTTCTTGTTACATAATGTTGCTCGAATTTGAGCAATTGCAAAGTATTTCAGAAGTGATTTCAAAACGAAAAACGCAATATTTACAATGAGTTTAAGATTACCCGTGTGAAACTCATTTAAATACTCATGATTTACGCAAATATTTCAAATTTTTTTTTTTTTTTTTTTTTTATTATAACAGTTTGATATAATCAACATTTCCTGTAAATATTTTATCATATTTCAAATCTAATATTGCTTTATAGTGTTTTCTACTAACATTTCCTGACTTATAGCCGCATAAGGTTGTCCATGTTTATCTTCGTTAATGTAGCCTGCATGGTACCACCCTTGTCGCCAGCTGTAAGTTTACATAAATTTCAGTCATTTTTTTAACAAAGATAAAATTTGTTCTCATTACTTTCAGGACTTCCTGCATAGCCCGTCTGTCACAATTTTATTTGTTCAATTTGCGTTCTTTTGGTTAGTTGCAATAACGTTAATTACGTTTATTACCTGAAAAAATGCAGAATAAATAAAGGCCTGTTGTTCAGTTGGTTTTTGTTTCCCTTAAGTATGTGAATGATAGTTAAATCCTTCAATGAAAAGATTAGTAAGGGTTTCTTGGATATACTGGATATAGTCATAGGCTATTCTTCTAAAATCACTTGTCTTTTATAGAAACATAGAGTAAATGTCCTTGACGTACCAGATTTATTTAGCCTTGGTTTTCCTCTGCAATGATCACAAAGCTAAATCCATGTTTCCTACTAAGAATGTTGTAGCACTTCGGCTAACAACTACGTTCATCGTTTGTATGAATCTTCATCTTGTATGTGTTCTTCATTATATAGGCTAATAAGGATACAGTAGTAAATTCTTTAAAAAAACATTATCTCGATTTCTTCTACTTGGTGGCGTTCTCTGACTTGTTATATTTCCATAGTTTGCAAATCCGTTCTTACAATGATTTTCAAGAAATACAGCACTGTGTCAATTCACTTATTTGGATGATATATCAAATTGTCCAAGCTTTCTCACTTTTTTCCATTGTGTACGCAAACACAAATTCAAAGGTTCTAGTAATCGTGGTAAAATCTATATAATTAATATGCAAACACGAAATTTGTTGGTTGAACTCCTCCGCCATTTCTTAACCAATTTTATCCATTGACGTCTCATTGGAAAGAGCGTCTAACGTAGATTTGCAAACTGACCTTACATTTTTTTTTAAGTCCCTTAGGCTCTGTCCCAGTGGCTTTTAAAGTTCCTATGTAATCCTTATGAAGAACATATTTGTTTACATTATGATCAGTTGGATATTTAATTGATGTTAACATTTGAGCTGCAATTCAAAAAAGTGTGTCCAACAAAAATTACATCTTTAAAAATTAAATCATCATTGAATGAACTAATTTTCAAATATTGGAAACATAAAACGCCACCAAGTAGAAGAAATAGAGATGATATTTTTTTAAGAATTTATCATCGTTATTAGCCTATATAATGAAGAACACCTACAAGATTCAGATTCCTACAAACGATGATGAACGAGAACGAGGATGTTCATGGGCGCCCGCAGGATTTTTTACAGAGGAATGCAATATATAGGTCTAACAAACATCAGGAGGTTCCGGCTCTTCCCCGGGAAAATTTCTGAAAATATAGTGTTTTAAAATGTATTTTTACGCTATTTGGTAACCCATAGAACCAACCAAAATAAAGCTAGGTGGCGTTCGCAGAGGCATCCACAAAATTGAGCGGCGTCATCAAGGGTTCATATTATATTGTTTTTGTCATACTGCAGTAAAAACAGTAATTTTTAATGCATGCGTTGCGGGTCTAAAGTAGCATTTTTAATATTTAGGGAGTAAAAATAGTTTTCAGCCTCTATGGAGTAAAAATCAGCTGTTGTCAACTCAGTTGTAAATTTCGATTGTAAACGATTGCATGTATAGAAAATATGTATCGATTCATGCTTTGTAATCATTTTAACATACAGTCTACAGTCTCTTCCCTTAGAATTTTGGTATTGCAGATACATTCCCAAACTCAACACTGCTCACCTTTACTACTTTCTTCACCACACCCTACATCAAAGACCTGTTTCCCTCTCTTCCCATAGCATTTTAGGATTGCAGATACATTAATGTAATTGCCAAAGACAGTTCCCACACTCTGCACTGCTAGCCTTACTACTTCCTTCACCATTTACTACGTCATAGACCTGTTTCCTTCCCTTCTCATAGCATTTTAGTATTGAGGATACATTAATCTAACTGCCACAGACGGATCTCACACTATGCTGATGCTCATACTTTACTACTTCTTAAGCCACTTCCTACGTCGTGGACCTGTATTCATCACTTTCCATTGCATTTTAGTATTTTAGATGTAAAACAGTTTCCACACTCCAGACTACTCGCCTTTACTACTTTCTTCACCACTTCCTACGTCGCGGACCTGTTTTCCTCTCTTCCCATAGAATTTTAGGAATGTAGATACCTTAATCTAATCATCATAAACAGTTTCCACACTCCAGACTGCTTACCTTTACTACTTCCTTCACCACTTCATACATCGCGGACCTGTTTCCTTCCCTTCCAATAGCATTTTAGGATTGCAGATACCTTAATCTAATCATCATAAATAGTTCCCACACTCCATAGAATTTTAGGAATGCAGATTCCTTAATCTAGTCGTCAAAAACAGTTTCCAAACTCCAGACACTGCTCGCCTTTACTACTTCCTTCACCACTCCTACATCGTGGACCTGTTTTCCTCTCTTGCCATAGAATTTTAGGAATGCAGATACCTTAATATAATCGTCATAAACAGTTTCCACACTCCAGACTGCTCGCCTTTACTACTTCCTTCACCACTTCCTACGTCGCGTACCTGTTTTCCTCCCTTACCATGGAATTTTAGGAATGCAGATACCTTAATCAAATTGTCATAAACAGTTTCCACACTCCAGCGACTGCTCGCCTTTACTACTTCCTTTACCACTCCTACATCGCGGACCTGTTTCCATCCCTTCCCATGGAATTTTAGGAATGCAGATACCTTAATCTAACCGTCATAAACAGTTTCCACACTCCAGACTGCTCGCCTTTACTACTTCCTTCACCACTTCCTACGTCGCGGACCTGTTTTCCTCCATTTCCATAGAATTTTAGGAATGCAGATACCTTAATCTAATCATCATAAATAGTTCCCACACTCCGGACAGCTCGCTTTGACTACTTCCTTCACCACTTCCCACGTTGCGTTTCCTTCCCTATGTTGTTCCTATGTTGAGGGCTTGATTCCATCCCTTCTCATAAGATTTACTGCATTGCAGATACATTTATCTAACTGCCAAAAACTGTTTCCAGTTCCCACACTCCACACTGCTCACCTAATTGTCATAAACAGTTTCCACACTCCAGCGACTGCTCGCCTTTACTACTTCCTTTACCACTCCTACATCGCGGACCTGTTTCCATCCCTTCCCATGGAATTTTAGGAATGCAGATACCTTAATCTAACCGTCATAAACAGTTTCCACACTCCAGACTGCTCGCGTTTACTACTTCCTTCACCTCTTCCTACGTCACGGACCTGTTTTCCTCCCTTCCTATAGCATTTTACGATTGCAGATACCTTAATCTAATCGTCATAAACAGTTCCCACACTCCGGACAGCTGGCCTTGATTACTTCTTTCACCAATTCCTACATCGCGGACCTGTTTTCCTCCCTTCCCATAGCATTTTAGGATTGTAGATACTTTAATATAATCACCATAAACAGTTTCCACACTCCGGACAGCTCGCATTGACTACTTCCTTCACCACTTCCTACGTCTCGGACCAGTTTTCCTCCCTTCCTATAGCATTTTAGGATTGCAGATACGTTAATATAATCGTCATAAACAGTTCCTACACACCGGACAGCTCCCCTTGACTACTTCCTTCACCACTTCACACATCGCGGACCTGTTTTCCTCCTTTCCCATAGCATTTTAGGATTGCACATAACTTAATCTAATCGTCAAAAACAGTTTCCATAGTCTGGACTGCTTGCCTTTCCAACTTCCTTCACCACTTCCTACGTCACAGACCTGTTTCCCTCCCTTCCCATTGCAGAATAGGATTGCAAATACCATTCAAATACCTTATAAACAGACCCCACACCCCGAACAGATCGCCATTACTACTTCCTTCACCACTTCCTACGTTGCGGACCTGTTTCCTTCCCTTTCAATAACATTTAAGGATTGCAGACCTCAAGCTAGTGTCGTCATTTGATTATGATCCATACCGTTTCTGTTCTAATATCTGTGGAATAATGCTATCAGCTATTTCTTTATCTACTGCATTCAAAAGTCAACAGCTGATCATATTTCTTTGTTTATGTGTCAAATACTGCTTCCTTAAGGATTACATTTAAACTTTGAGACCCAGTGGGGCGGATCCCTGAGAGACTTTTTAACGCCATATAGATGTTGGCACTCACCGATATGGGCTTTATCACCATGCAAAATTTGAAAACAATTGATTCAGCCGTCTAGGAGGAGTTTGCGTATTACGAAATGCATAAGAGTCAACGTATAAGAGCTTCGCTCGCTCCGCTCAAAAAAACAGGCCGTAATGCACGTCAAGCATGACGACACCATAGAAGACGGCAATGACGTAATGTTTAATATTTTTGTGACAAAGGGTATTTCTTTATTTATTTTCCAAGGGAAGATTAAAACAAGCAGCTGATCACAAACGGTAAACTACGTCATTGCCGTCTTCTATCGTGACGTCATGCTTCACGAAGAGTCGACGTATAAGAGCTTCGCTCGCTCCGCTCAAAGCCATACCATACCGTACCATTGTGGAAGGAAAATACATATAGGTGTGCTATTCATTCCCAACATTAAAATAAGAAATTATATGGCGAGTCAAGTACGGTGTATGCTGACGTCACCCAGATTGCAAACAAAAAAATCAGCTAATATGTATTTTACCATATAAATATATGTTTGTTTTTATCTTCCTAAATGGTAAAATGGTGATTGCAATCTGAGTGACATCAGCATATACCGTACCTGACTCGCCATATAATTTCTTATTTTATGAAGCTATCTATATATATAAAAGGCAAAGCCCTCACTGACTGACTGACTCACTCACTCATCACTAATTCTCCCACTTCCCACTTACCTAGGAGGCTGAAATTTGGTACACTGATTCTTTAGGCATTAAATAGGAAAACTAAGTGGTTTTTATTCTGATCGGACTCTCGGGCTCCGCCCCAGTGGCTCTAGAGTTTCCCATGTTAACCTAATGAGTACTCATATTTAAATGGAATTAATAAATCATAACAGCTGTTTCAATTTAACAAGTTGGTTCTGTTCTGTGATATTCAATAGCATTAAAGTTACAAGGATTACCAACAGAGTGCAGCACTATTATTTTTTTAATTTATGATTTATGACAACAGCTAATTTGCAACCAAAAGGTGAGTGAGCGTAGCGAACGAACTTCAACCAGGACGTGCGAGCGCAGCGAACGAGCTCCAACCTAAAGGTGAGTGAGCGTAGCGAACGAACTTCAACCAGGACGTGATTAGCCATGCGAACGAGCTCACATATGAAGTAAAACGGGGCAAAGCCCGCGGGTACAGCTAGTGTATTATAAAATTGACAAGACGTATTTTGTAATAATTACTTACGGGTCAATAAAATGTCTTTTATTGTCTTATATGGATTTGCTTTAACTCTTCATGGCACGCCCACAAAGCATGTGGGTCTGAACCGTTTTCCCAAAAAGCGTTTAAATCAAATATATAACCTATCACTTTCTTTCATCTCCTTTAAAAAAAAATTCCAACGGCTCCGGCGTAGACAAGGATAAGGAACGGATACTGTTCAAAAGATTTCAGGTGGTCCATAAAATATCCTTATGTGCTTACGATTGAAGACTTTTAAACCAAAATGAACAACGCAAAATGTAACATAATAATAATATATTATAAACAATGGCATGGCGTGTCCACACATTAACTGATCAAGTATTAACTTGAGGAGTATGTTTAATCTATGGTATAAATTATAGTTGGTTGTATGTATAAATTCACACAAAAATATATTGGTGTCTGGAATGGCTTATAGTGCGTTTTTTTGTTTTCATGTATCACACCTCCTAATTTGTTTACTTGTCTTGTTCAAAGCAAATATGATTTAAATTACATTTAAATACCGTTGTGCAGCCAACAACCCAACCGAATTAATTTGCGTGGTGGCAGTACTGTTATAGATGAAAATATTATAGTCTTTTTTGCATTGCTCTTCCCTTGCCAGTTGCCACTCCCCACCCCCCACCACCCTTCCATTCCCTTCCGGTTCTTTGTAGCAGAAACTGCCACACTTACTGGAACAGCGCTGATCAATTTCAGTGTTTTGAGATTGATTAACTCGACCAGTAAGATCTAAAAATGGTAAGTTTATATTTTAAATTCGCCACTAGTTATTTTGCGTTGGGTTTTATTTATTGTACATAGGCCTACTTACTGTGAAGTCTTTATCTATGTTAGTAGACTGAGTTGAGGTTAGGGTTCCCATGTGCTACACACGTTATTACTGTAGATTCAAGATTTATTTCGGCCATTAAGTTGTTTACAATAGGCTTTGTCTTACATAAAATATTAATTAAAAAATAATATTTCAGTCTTTTCCTGAAAAAATAAAACATAAAAAATAATCCACTGCAAACCAAACAACGGCACCAAAAATCATCACACAGCCAACCATGCAAAATAATTGTCAAACAAACATACCTTTCAGTAGATGTACATGACTTATAAGGTATTTAAGTTTTGTGCAGCCTTCATGGCATCAAAAAAATTATCAAATTTGTAATATGGGTTCAACTCAAGCCAATTTTTTACAATGTAGAGGCCTACAACAATATTGAATCTCTAAATTAAATGCTTATGTAAGTTAAATAGGGGATTTACTTTGTTATTTTCTAAAACCCTACTAACCGTGGAATAATACAGAGGTAATCTACATAACAACAAAACATTTGCCCATCACTTGAAAAAATACCACACCAAATAGGCCTAGACCAAAATTTACCGGTACAATTAGATGGTTAATTTACCGAAACAATTATATCAATGAGTACATTGAACAACATTCATACACACGCACATGCCAGCTCACGGGTAGACGTCCCTATTTGTTGTCATTACAACCAAATGAAAATATCGATCTATAGCCTATATCGAACAAAACAATCGAATAATTAATATTTTCATTCGGTTGTTTTGACAACAGATACGGAAGTCTACCCCAGCTTACTTCGTGAAAACATAAGTTAGCTAAAACCCGATGAGACAGAAGAACCCTGATGATTCCCTGATCTACGTATGGTGGTAAAGACATTGAGGGTAATAAGGTAGACCTATGACAGTGCCAAGGGACCAGACTAAGCTTAAAACTAGTCCTAATTTATAAATAAAAAGGCAACCATCCCGCTAGTGGTGCTTAGTAAAATTCCAGGGAGGGAAGAAGCCTCAAGTTTCCAAATTATTTTTATTTTAAGAAATAAATTTCTGTGACTAGGCTATTTAAAAATCTACAAATTATTACACTACACTGCAGTCATACTCAATTCAGTACCTAGGCCTATATTAACCTTGTATTAACAAAACATAGCAAGTTTTACATGGGCCTAGATACAAAATAACTCAATTCAAAAAACGTCTTAAAGTTCTAATTACCAAATTCATAATGACATTTTATGACTCCAAAAAATTTGAATAAGTATTACTGTATTTCAAATTCAATTTACTTTACAAACCGTGGTAGCAGTGTAAAATGTTAGGTATATAAAATGAATTAAATAAATTATTTTATAAAAAAATAATGAAATCGTAATGTATTTAGAAGTTGATATTGGACGCGCTCTACCTCAGCTCGTATTTCTCAGTTCGATGTTGCTTAATGCGATTATCCTATACCATTGCACTGGACAGCGCCATGTAGAGCGCTTTCAAGTCTTTTAAATCTGTGTGATTACATCGTTATCCTTAAACCTTGTAAGTTACTTAGTAAACTAACTGCAGATTATTGTTTTTTAGAACACATGCAAAACCACAAAGAAGTTAAATTAAGTATTAAATTAACATGCTTATGGGATGACCACGGGCTTTCAGCTCTGGTATGTTGTGCCGGTGATGTAGGCCTACTTGTGGCGAGCACTGTGCGGTCAATCCTATCGCTTACCTGTTCTTCCTCTACCAAAAGATGGCTACATGATGGCTTGGGGGTGCCAGTGTGCAAATGCATAGCATCATCATAACTCAACACTTCAGCTCAAATCTTTACATTGTCGCCAAAGGTCATTGATTAAACACGATGAATAAATGTGGATCAAGTAGGCCTAGTGAACCCTGAAAACTCTTGTTATCTGACAAATGTTTCCCATTCATAGCCGCATCAGGTGGCCCATAATAACGATTATAAATTCTAAAAAAACATTATTTCTATTTCTTCTACTTGGTGGTGTTCTATTACTTTCCTATGGTTTTATAGTTTGCAAATCTTCACTTTCAATGATTGCTCTAGAAATGCAGTAGCCTACAGTGTTAATTCAGTTTTCTTTTTATTACCTATATCAAATTGTCCAGGCTTTCTCGATTTTCCCATTGTAATATTTACAATTACAATTCAAATAGTAAACATTTCATTTCAACCAAATCAGTAGGCTAAATGTTTGTAGCGCCGGCACACGTTTCCTTAAATTGCAACTAAAATACCGTATTAGGCTAAATGAATAAATTTATCTTTATTGTCACATAAACGTTTTACAGTTTACATAGCTTAAGCTACAAAAACAGATGACATTGTCAATATAATCATAATGCATCATAATCTATTATATTATTAAAGTGATACAATCTAATTTTATGTAATCGGTTAAGGCCATTTACCAAATAAAAATATAGGCATATGGCATATCAAAATGAAGCTTAGAGGGTGTAGATTTGCCGAAAAGTATTCATTGATATGGAAAAACTCCCTAAGGGCTCTGCCCCACAGACAATTTCTCGAACTTGGGCCCTTTAAATGAAATATGAAGTCAAAGTTGATTAAATTAATTTAGTGGTGGTTTCTGTTCACCCGTGAGTTCGCGGGTAGAACCTCTTGTAAGTACCTAAAATACTAAAAATAAACAAAGATTCTTAGAAATAATTATTTGGGTTATTTTATAAAACATGATATTTACTAATTTAAAAAATTACCATCATTCAAAAAATTCATCAATACTGTAATATATTTTGTTTAGGCTACAAGAAATGAGGCAAGGCTGCTTTTAAAAGGTGTGTTGTTTTAAATCTTTATATTTTGGTTGCAGTTGATAAAAAATTTCTTTCCCATATATTTTGGTGTTTTTCCTTTTAATTTTAATCGGCGAATTGGAAACTGAAAATCTTTTTTGAAACGGGTGTTATATGGATGGTCAAAATTCTCCGCACATTACAATTTTTCAAAATTTGACTGTGCTAAGGATTTAAAAATGATTAAACTTGGTACAGTCATTACGGTATATTAAGTTCTTTAAAAATTGGTCTACATGAATGTTTCCAATGCAGTGTAACTGTTATTAACCGTGTTTTTAACCTTTATTAACACAGCAATTAAATTATCCAGCTGATCATGATGTAAACAAATTTGTTCTTTATAAGGATAACATGGGAAGCCACCGAGGCAGAGCCCAAGGGACCTATCAAAAATGTAAGGCCAGTTTGAAAATCTACACACCTAGACAAACATTTTGTATAAAATTTGGGGTTAAATCTTAAAACTAAACAAAAAAGCCTTATTGTTCACAAAGTTTCATGTAGCATATTAATAATATAGAAGATAGATATGTTTATTAAATTTTTTGGCCAATTAGGTTAGGACGTATTTAGCCTAGTTTGGATTAGTGAGATGCTGGTGTAGTTTTTTGACTTGGGATAAATTAGTCTACTTATAAAATTAATTTGGCCTCTATGAGTAGCCTATATCATATCTCAATATAGTTTGTTAATTGTTGAAGTTTTATGTGATTTCAGAGTACTTTCACCAAGGACCCAGAAAAGCCTCAGGCTGAGCCTGCACATGTCCATAGGATCCGTATCACTCTCACCTCCAAGAACATGAAGAGCTTGGAGAAAGGTAAAAGCACTTTTACAAATTTGGGAGGATAAAATCCAAATCTGTGAATGAGTTGGAGATAGCCTAGTTCTGGTTTTCGTGAAATTTGTCCACTTATGAATAGTCCTGTGAAATTTTGATATGACTGATACGCACTGTATTAATTCCAGTTTGTTATCTTACATTACTGGGCCGAAACAGTGCAACAACAATTCAGCAATGAGTTCAACACCAAGTTCAAAGTGATTGAACTTGTTAATCATTGTTGAAACATCAAATTTGGACATACTGTATCTATATTATAATGCGAGTAACATTTGTGCACAATAATTTCAAAAACGGCTCCTACAATTTCCTCTAAATTAAATATATATTAGTTATATTTTATATCTACCGGTAATGTATATATAAATTAAATATGTTAGGAATATCTTAGTTTCAGGCTAAAAACAATATCCATGCTAGCCACTGTTCTGGGAAAATTTATTTTTGGTTAAAAACTTTAAATGAAATGTTAATATTTTTAACATTGCTCTTATGGAAGGCTAGGTAGCCAAGAAAGCTTGACAAAAATGTAAATTTTGTAACATATGCCTATACAACAAATCATCTTCAGTACATTGGAAAATTATTAAATAGGGGACAAAAGAAAAAGGACACTCTTGTGAATACGATTTATCATTGGTTATTTAATACACGTGGGGCGTTTTATTAAGCCCTGGAATAATTACTACTGTTCAAAACCGTATAATATTTTACCGTAAAAGATGCACTAATGCTAAACCAAGAGTATTGAGGAAAACCCAGTTGGAGTCCCAAATTAATAGTTAAATTTTAACATGATTGTTTAATTTAGACATACCTATTTTAAATGTAATTATAAAAACTAACCTCTTCAAAACTTGTATAGGCCTTAAATATGGTCTAGACTCTAGAGCATGAAATTTGTTGTCTTGCAAACCCTTAAGTTCAGCCTTTGAAACTACACTATACAGCAGAAAACCACAACTTAGAAATTTGGAGTGATATTTGCAGTTTTAGCGAATTTCCCTATAGGGAAGTAGCTATTACCGTAGGTCTCATGGTAAGACTTAGGCCCGGGACCGATTTACTTTTTCATTTTAATGTCCCCAGAGGCCAAAAACACCATTCGTTCAAATTTTTATATAGGCCTATGTATATATATATATATATATAGATATATATATATATATCTAATATATAAAATTCTCGTGTCACAGTGTTTGTCTGCAAACTCCTCCGGAACGACTTCACCGATCGTTATGAAATTTGGTGTGTAAATTCTGTAGGTATGCGAATCGGACGTAAACTATTTCCCGTTTCGAAATTCTTAAAAGGGCTCCGCCCCAGTGGCTCTGGAGTTTCCCATGTTAACCTTATGAGAAATGGAATTAATGAATCTTAACAGCTGTTTCAATTAAACAAGTTGGTTCTGTTCTATGATGTTCAATAGCATTAAAGTTACAAGGATTACCAACAGGGTGCAGCACTATTATTTCTTTTACATTTATGACAACAGCTAATTTGCAACCAAAAGGTGAGTGAGCGTAGCGAACGAACTTCAACCTGGAGGCGAGTTAGCGTAGCGAACGAGCTAACCTGAAGGCAAGTGAGCGCAGCGAACGAGCTCCAACCCAAAGGTGAGTGAGCGTAGCGAACGAACTTCAACCTGGAGGCGAGTTAGCGTAGCGAACGAGCTAACCTGAAGGCAAGTGAGCGCAGCGAACGAGCTCCAACCTAAAGGTGAGTGAGCGTAGCGAACGAGCTCCAACCCAAAGGTGAGTGAGCGTAGCGAACGAACTTCAACCAGGACGTGATTGAGCGATGCGAACGAGATCATCTTGAAAATTAAACGTAACGGTACTTTCTTTCCATCGGTCTGTCTTAGGGGAAACCTATAACTTAGGCGATACGAAGTTCGCCGGGTCAGCTAGTATATATATAGATTTATATATATATGTGTCCGTGAACACGATAACTTGAGTAATTTTTATCCGATTTTGATGAAATTTGGTTTGAAGGTGTAAGGCGGGATAAACTTGAATGAGTTCGCGATCCAGCATGATCGGACTATGGGAACAGGGTTTTATGGGGGGTTTTATGGGGTAAAAATTGGTTTTTCTCACTTCTTACCCTCAAAACACAAAATTTCCCAATTTTTCTCTAAACCTTCTTAAAGAGCTTAAAAAAACAAACAATTCAGTATATCAAAGTGTTTTTGTACGGTTATTGGTTACGGAGAAAACTAAAAAAATGGTAAATTTAAAATTCCCATGTTATTCTTATGGAGAATATTGTAAAATGTTGTAGTTTGCTTGTTTATGGATATATTTTGATCAAACTTGGCAAATTTATTTATTTTATAGTAAGCTATAAATATTTTACTAAAAACACACTACTTTATTAGTTTCCTTGTAGCAGCAAACCTAGGTACTCGTTAAACCTAATGTTATTTAAATAGATCAATTGAAAATCAATTCGGCCAAATGGAAATTCGCTTAGACGGCAGGTTTGCTGCGGCGGGGGTATTTACTAACTATTTTGCAGTTATTATGTTTTTTAACATAAACACTATGTTTTACACTTTAACTTATTTCTAAGAGTATATTCGTCGGGGTAATTCATTAGTTTTGACTAAAAATAATATTTTCTTTGGCCTAGAACAAAACTGTACGACCACAACAGTTCTAAGTGTGTGGCGTCTAACGAAGTCAATTGATAGGTGGAGAAATCCCAATGTCAAATATAGGTCAATAAACTATATGAGATCAACATCAAGTCTTATAGAAGGGCTCAGCTTTATAAAATGGCAATACTGTAATGACATTATTTTTAAATGCAGTTAACGTATCCTACAAATTAAACACTACGAGCAATGCTCGGTTCCCTGGTACTACTTATAATATGTTTAAATTTGAGTGGATATAACCGTTTTTGGTCCCCCTGAACCCAAAAAAGTGGTTTTCGAAGTGATGTCTGTGTGTGTACGCGTGTGTCTGTCTGCATGTTTGAATGCTACATGTGTATAAAGCTACAGACCACTAGTCTAAAATTTGCACTAGTCACTTAGACTACACACCTGTAGTCAGATTTTGATAAAATTTCATAGGTATGTAGACTAATTCATCATATCTCAGGGGTTTTAAATTTGTTAAGTTTTAATGGGGGTTTTTCATAAAGCCCATAAAAAAGCGGAAAAATAAAGTTTTCTTTAAAATGGCCTGAACAATTTTGATAAAAATTTAGTTTGTTAGGCCTATATATTCCTTTAAATTCTGGACAAAATGGTACAACTTCCATTCCTGTACAAATTACAATTCAAAAGATATTGTAGGCCTACCACATACTGCTATTATAGCACCGAATGTAAACAACTAACTAACTAACAGCTATTTCCATTCCACAAACCTCCCATTCCAAGTGTTTATCCCCCCTAGAACTTGGATTCCCCCAAACCACCACCATATGAATTATAAACAACTTTTCTGATTTCCCCTATAAAATATACTTCTAGTTACTCCCACCGCTTACCCATGGTAAAGATTGTTGACAAGCTAATATGGGAGAAAATATGTGTCAGATTTGATTGCTAATACAATTTTTTTATTAAACAAACAGACAAGCAATAGTTTGTAATTAGAGATCGTTTAGTTTTGCTAATGCTTGGCTATTATTGAATTAATAACAAGAAACATATTGTAAACAAAAACACGACCCTTGCTGCACTGGTTGGAATCAAGATTAATGCGGTCTTCAGCATATCCCAACTGTAAGGATGAGCATCATTGAACATCAAGGGGATTGAACCTGTAATCTTTTATGGGATTATTTTAAATCTATGCTTCAAACTACCTTTGATAAACCATATTGTTTTTATTTGGTCTTCAATTATTATTATCACATTTTTTTAGTTGAGGCTTCAATTGCAGAAGCTATAATATGGAAAACTCTTGTACCGTCTGGTTTCCTGATGGTCAGTTTATTTTGTTATTTTTTTATGCCTACACCAGTAACATTTTCAGTCAAAGAAACTTAACACTTTTAAGGGAAATCAGTCTAAAATTAAAATGATGATGGTATACCAAAAAATGATCCCGTCGTAACATCAAAGTCCAAGATGATGTACTAAGCTAGGCTAACATTATTTCCTTAATAAACCCACCGTCTGTATATTGGTATTCTCACTTCAAGTTACACTGTGTATTGGTTGATTATAAATCTCGCTCTGTGTGCAGTGTGTGCTGATCTGATCAGTGGAGCTAAGAGGGAGAAACTGCGTGTGAAGGGACCAGTGCGTATGCCGACCAAGATCCTGCGTATCACCACACGTAAGACTCCCTGCGGTGAAGGTTCCAAGACCTGGGACAGATTCCAGATGAGGGTACACAAGCGGGTCATCGACCTTCAGAGTCCCTCGGAGATCGTCAAGCAAATCACTTCCATCAGCATCGAGCCCGGTGTAGAGGTGGAGGTTACCATTGCTGACTCGTAAACCACTCGTTTGTACAATTGACTGAATAAACTCTGGTTTTATACATTGATTATATTATTGTTTGCTACCACCTAATTGTATTTGATGAATCTGGGTTGTGCTGGCTCAGCCATTAGTTTATTTGCTCTAAGATGGGCCTTTATTGGGCCAAAGATGGTAAACAGTAAAAAATATCTTCTTTTTAAAAATTTTTGCTTGGACGTGTCTTAGTCTTCTATTTTTATTTCAAGGAACAAAGTATGACTTTACCATAGATCTGCCTTAGTTTGTACGGTACCACAAATGTCTGGTACTTACATTTGGTCAAAAACCATAACATATTGTTTGCCCTGACTTAACACAGTAGGCCTACAGAAAACCAAAAACAAATGTGCAAGTGCTAAGGTTGAATATTTAACCACATACAGTTTAGAAGCATTATTTTTAAATCTTGTTTATGAAAATTAATTGAAAAAAAAAGTGTCTGTAATTGAGAATGCAATAACAAGTGGGTGAATGAATAGTAATGAATTTAAAATTTGACCTACTTGAAGCATTTCTAAGACATTTTAAGGTGAATGTAGAACTATACCAGAAGTGACGTGTTGGTCATGCTAGGCTGATGAGGATGTGTATATTAATAATAACTCATACAGTTCTATAAAACTTATTTTATTAAGTAAAAAATTGGTAAATTCACACAAATCACAAAAGGTTTGGTAACATATTTCATTACTTATTAAAAAATGCCACTTTCAATGAATGATTCATTTATATGACGGTATTGACTGACAAACTGACACATGTTATATTGTAGCTCGTCATAATAATAACTTATTTGTTTTTTGACTTGTAAACCATTTCTGAATAGCTTTCAAAAGCTGTTATTGAAGATTGAATAAGCAACTTTGGTTGTAATAATTAATTTTTCCTTTAGAATCAGTTGAACAAATTTTAAATTGCTGGCCCTGAGGAAATATACTGAATCAAAACTATGAATATAACTTAAGTACTAAACTTATAAGTACAGTCGAGAGTCGAAAATCCGAAACGTCAAAAATCCAAACCGCTCCTGAGGGTTTTAAAATATTGAATTAGCACAGAGTCAACGGATGTTTTATTTACAATTTCGTGGGCCAAGCAGTCAGCGCCTGGCAGGGAAATGAGTGAACGCGAGGATCCAGTCCGTCTTTTGTTTGTTTCCAATGTATAAACTCTACATATTTTTTCAAGGAACGAATTACAGTAATGTAACGAAAAACTCTATTTTTAATACTGTAGGCTTAATTATGTGTCTATTAGGCATTTCTTGGCTATGTTTGAAAATCTGAACAAATCGGTAATCTAAACTACCTGTGGTCCATAGGCTATTGGTTAGGATTTTTTACTACTGTATTATTGTAATGAAGAATCCACCATATTTTTCACATTATTAAGTTCAAAGAGCACAATCATTGAGTTCACAAACATTCTTGCGCTTTTCACATGTCTCGTAAAGGTTAAAGTCAAAAACATTTCAATACAATAATTTGCTAAAACTACTTTCAAATTGAGACCTATTATTGAGAATATTATTGAACTTATATCACAGTAGGTATAGAAAGTGATTGTTGAGGTTAATTACAATTACAAATACAAGGTTCAGGTGTGATGCAGATCACTAGTCGACCTGCAGTTTACGGAAGGATCCTGCCATCCCAGTTATCTGCTGGTCCTCGAACTCTGTGATAAACTTTGCCTTCTTGTTGACAGAGATGGTCATTTTGTCTAAAGCCATCACTCGTTCCCTCTTGCTCTCTAGGAACTTCTTGAAGTCCGCTATAACATACAGATCATTAAAAATTATTCACATTGACTTGGGAACATTAGAGATGAGCATCAATGCAAACCCCTCACTGGTTTTTGATATACCTAATATTGACGCCAGTGGGATTTTTACAGGAGAGGACAATGTGCAGTGTATAAAATAACGCAAGTGAACTCCATGCATACTCGAAGAAGATGAATTAGATCAGAAGAGGAAGGTAGACAAATCTAGACTAAGATGTTTTATATGTGATAAGAGGAAATTTGACCACAAGGAGAAACCAGAAGAGGTGAAGAGAGAGAGATGGTTGATGGTAAAGGTGGATGAATTGTGAAGGAATACAGATACTTAATCCACACAGGCCTGGGAATAATTGGAAAGGAAGAGGATATTTTTGTAGTAGTGAAAGAGAGGGAAATTACTTAAGCAGAAATAATTATGTTATGTAGTAGAAGCCCTTGTATATGTTCAGTGCAAGAAATGGGTGAAACAGGTCGAAGAAATACATAAGGAACAACAAGGGGAAACACCAATTTGTAAACTAAATATTTTTTTTAATACTTAAGAAAATTATTGAAGACATGATGATTTTGTTAGTAAACTACTTGCACACCATAGTAACCATGCTCAAGCACTGGATATTTGGAAGCGGTCATTAATCCCAAAGGAGCAAGTTATTTCGATATCTGGAAAAGAGGTTGTTCTCAGTGGTGTAGTTATAAATTTTCCAGTACGGGAACGCACACCATGGTCTTGGAACATGGATCGCCGATTAATATATTGGATTTTTCGAATGTGCAGAGTAGGAACGCCGTTCTCGTCCCACTACACCAATGGTTTTTCTGTATTTCAAACATTAGCCTATATGACTTCAGAATTCTCTTTGACACTTACCAATCATATCAGAAAGAGGAACGACTCCTCCGTACTCCTTCGGAAGAATCTTTGGATCCACTGCTTTCTGGAGACTTTCTATGTCTTTATGTAACTAAAACACAAATCCAAATTGATTATGTTCGTAGGCAGAATAGTCACAAAGAGAAAAACTTATCTAAATGAAAAGTGAAGGGAGTGATCGTATAAAACTCTTACACTTATATAGATAAAGGAATGTTTGAATATTTTCCAAATAACATCTAAAATTTAAGAAATTAATTACTAAAAAGTTGTGTAAATCATGACTTACCATGACTCTGTTTTTGAGCTTGTCATTTAGTAGAGCTGTGAAGAAGTCAAACACTTTGTTGGCGTAAGGCGGGACATTGATGAAATGTGTTGACTTGTGTCTCATTGGTGTTGAGTTCTGAGAAGATGGATAATTTTTAATATAAATCAACAAGTGATCTGATTTTTATTATGTAAATGAATTATTGATAAATTTTTATTCATTTAAGGGGACCTTTATTGATAATAACGGATGAGGTGCACAAGCACTCTTCATGCTCGTCACATATTTATTTTCCTATGTTCAAATTTATTTGTCAGTGGGTTTGGCAAAAACTCACTTATTGCTATGATTTAAAATACCAAACACAACAATTAATTTTTTACCTACAAGTAGCCGTTTCAGTTCAGTTCTTGTTCTTAGAATTGAAAAGTTTCTCATAACAGCATTGTTAACTTACATAACAGCATAGTTTTACATTACAACACGGGTAACGGACGAATGAGGTAGTGATGAAATACTATCGATAGTATCGATAGTTTGTTACTATTGATAGTTTGCCGATAGTGAAACTATCGGTACCTTAACTATCGATAGTTTATCAAGCTGAATTATTGCTGTTTTATTGGAATTTTATCCATATCAATGACATAAATTAATAATATTGTAAACAATATGATCATAGTACAACTCTACGATGATTATAGGGTTTCTTTGAAGTGATAATTATTGATATATTATCATCTGGGTTTTATCCATAACTTGCTGCCCATCAATGCCAGGCACCAGCCACAACCACAACTGACGCCAAAGGCACCAGGCAGGGAGGCATGCACTAAAGCCCAAGTTAGTGGACACATTGATTATTGGAAAAGCCAACATGTGGTTGTTAAAAGTTTAGGTGCCATCAATGTGATTTAATCAGCTGTGCTCTCTGGTTTTAATGAACTCCAACCCTAGTTTAATATGTTTTTTTTATATTTAGCTAACATGTCTTTTAAGGGTTTTCACATTTTTAACATTTTTCCAAATGTGTAACTTATTTAACAGTTTATGATTATAAAAGATTTTATTTTGATCCAAAAAATATATATAATATTTATATGGTAGGGCCTATTAAAATATATTTGGTATTATTCGAATTTAAGATTGCAGTTTTTTTAATCATCTAAAACTAAAAAATCGCAAATTTATCATTAAAAAATACTATCGATAGTACTATCGATAATATCGATAGTTTTAAAATAAATATCGAAAACTATCGATAGTCCGACTATCGATAGTATTTCATCACTAGAATGAGGTTCAAGGATTGAGACAGAAGAAGAAAAATTGTAATGCTTCGAACTTCAACTAAACTAAGCTGTTTACCAGTTTAATTTTCAATGATTGGTGCAGTTAGTTATTGGTACAATGAGTCATTGTATCAATGTCAATGGCAATGAGAGGTTAAAAACAAAAACATCTCTTAGAACTCTTATTAGAAGTTTTGAGTAGTGATTATTAGTAATTAAAAACAGGTCGTAGGTAAAGTAGTGTTAACAACTCGCGAAAATAGTGTTAACTACACTCGTAGAAGTTTTTAAGGCACTCGCCATGGCTTGTACCTTAAATTTTCTATTTATGTCGTTAACACTATTTTTACGCGATCGTTGTGTAAACTACAACTATAAATCTATTTAAAAAATACCCCCGCCGCAGCAAACCTGCCGTCTAAGCGAATTTCCATTTGGCCGAATTGATTTTCAATTGATCTATTTAAATAACATTAGGTTTAACGAGTACCTAGGTTTGCTGCTACAAGGAAACTAATAAAGTAGTGTGTTTTTAGTAAAATATTTATAGCTTACTATAAAATAAATAAATTTGCCAAGTTTGATCAAAATATATCCATAAACAAGCAAACTACAACATTTTACAATATTCTCCATAAGAATAACATGGGAATTTTAAATTTACCATTTTTTTAGTTTTCTCCGTAACCAATAACCGTACAAAAACACTTTGATATACTGAATTGTTTGTTTTTTTAAGCTCTTTAAGAAGGTTTAGAGAAAAATTGGGAAATTTTGTGTTTTGAGGGTAAGAAGTGAGAAAAACCAATTTTTACCCCATAAAACCCCCCATAAAACCCTGTTCCCATAGTCCGATCATGCTGGATCGCGAACTCATTCAAGTTTATCCCGCCTTACACCTTCAAACCAAATTTCATCAAAATCGGATAAAAATTACTCAAGTTATCGTGTTCACGGACACATATATATATAAATCTATATATATATATATATATATATATCTATATATATATATATCTATATATATATATATACATATATAAAAATTTGAACGAATGGTGTTTTTGGCCTCTGGGGACATTAAAATGAAAAAGTAAATCGGTCCCGGGCCTAAGTCTTACCATGAGACCTACGGTAATAGCTACTTCCCTATAGGGAAATTCGCTAAAATAAAAAATAAAATAACATTTAACAGGAGTTAGGCGGTGATGGGTTGGTTTTACCCATTCAATTCTAAATTTGCATGACAATTGGAAACTTCATTGTGGATACAGTAGTAGCCTCCGGATTGCCAAATAATATTAAAAAGGTTGAAATACCTGCTATCAAGTAATCCATTTAATTGCATTTGCAACTAGTTTTCGGCTCCTATGTGGAGTCATCTTCAGGTGGTACAAGGTACAAGGACTTCTTCTTTTTCACATGAAGAGTGTCATATTTAACACACAAAAATAAATAAACATTTACACACGACACAAAATACGTTTACGGACACAAAACATTTACTGATCAGTTACGACAACAGACAACGCTAACCCGGCGGAGTTTAAGTCCGCAAACTCTGGAGTCTGGACTTAAACTCCGCTGGGTTAGCGTCGCCTGTTGTCGTAACTGATTAGTAAATGTTTTGTGTCCATAAACCTGTTTTGTGTCGTGTGTAAATGTTTATTTATTTTTACGTGTTAAATTATTTGTTAAATTGACTAATTTTGAACGAATATAAAATTCATATTTTTACAAAACATTTCTTCTCAGACTGTCAGTTACTTACACACTACACAGCAAGTACCTGTATACATCGCAGCATGTTACGAATGTCGTTGAGTGACCAGAGGCTGATGTGTCCCATTGTTAGGCCAGACTCGTCATTCACATGGCTATAACCTGCCAAAGAATATAAATAATTTGTGTTATTATTCAAACATTGAAGGTTAATGTTACCTGTTTCTGTCAGAAAGATTTATTAAATAAGTAACTTCATTAAATCTTGAACCTTAGCGTTTAATATTGATCCAACCATTAAATTTTATCATTATTTCCCTGCTTCCAAGTTTATAAAAACATATTTTTGGTAACAAATACACAATACCGGTAAGGGTAAGTATTAAAGTTTCAAAATGACTAAAATGAGGAGCAACTCAAAGAGTACACATCCTGCCAAATGTATCCAAGCTTTTCACAGTGTGATTCCGAATGATTTTCAGATGGGCCTCCACGCACCATAGCTTGCGATACACAGATAAACTCCTCCTCATGAGTCACACACCAGGCACCTAACTTTGATAGTCTTGGACCTAGAGAAACTGCTGGGAGTAGTGATAACCAGTTCCACTACTGTGCACTTAGCTGGTTCAGCTGCAAGAGCTCCAGGACAAGTTTGGCATACGACAACCTTACCAAGTTCTTCCCAGCAGCTGAATACAGTGATCTCGTGTGGCTGAACAGCAGTACTCATACTAAGAGTGGATGCACATTATAGGAATGTTATAGGAAAATGAGAACAGTAAGTGGCACCTTCAATATTCATACTCTTCCCCTGAATTCCAGTAAGTCATGTAGGTACCTTATCTTTGAGATATGTTTTGAAGAGCCATTAGGAAGTGTAGTTGATTTCGACCAAGGTTAACAGAAAACTAGATTTGGTTTTATAATGTGACCAATCGTTCTGCTAGTTGTTTTGGCATTTTTAGTCAAGTTTTAAGAAATTATAAGTCTATTTGCCAAATAGTTAACTACAGTAATACGTTTTACCACAGAGAGCTAAAGTTCAGAGGATAGAAGATACTGTACATTTAATGTTACACTTAAGTGGTGTCTAGCGCTAGTTGCTGCTGTCTAGAGCAAAATACAACACTGCCCCCCTCACCCACATATGTACTACATCGCTCACGGTAGAGAAAGACCCTGTGCTCTATCTATAGGCAAGAATTTCCACAGGTTCTTCCCTTGCACGTCACAAGTATAATATCCGGCACAACATACTAGAGCTGAAAGAGCACAAGGGTCCCATAAGCGTGTTTCCTTTGTACCTTACTTCTCTGTGGTGTTACTGAATGCTGCATGGTTGCACTGGATGGTTGTAAAATACCACTTTATGCCACTTTACTGGATGGTACATTACCACTTTAAGTCATCACCTGTGATCTGGTTCTCTTCTTCGTCCATAAGACTCTCCACGACAATGCTGTGTACTCGGGCCATGTGAGCCGAGGTGTACTTGTACGGGTCAAACTTTACTGCACAAGAGAAAAGCACCTTCCTTCCTTGTCTATCTCTCTCAGGGAGAGCTACGAGGTACCTAGACACAGTGGGAAGTTGAATAGTAAGACATTAATGAAATATTTTTGTTTTATATAAGACCTTTGACTAGAACCAGGCATACCATTCCCAAGTTAAAGTTGTTGCCAGTTTCAGGATACAAAAAAAGTTTAATTGAGTCCCTACTGCGAGTGCTGTTGTCAACTAATTTTTCTTGTTCTATAAAACCAAATTATTTGCGACTCTTTCTAGAGAGAGTATATTCTGATACTACTTCTATACAGTATACTACTCTCTTCAAAAACCAATAGGTACTAGAACAAAATATATCAGTGTTATGTTTTATTACCTTCTCGTGTGCCTATATTAAGTGTGGACACTAATTTTCTTTGTAAGCTAGCTAGCTATTTTATTTTTGTCAAACAAAATTGTCGTTCTTGCTCTAGGTATGCATGCAGTACGAACAATTCGCTCACACTCACCCACTGTTCAGGATGTCTTGTACTTCTGGGTCCAGGACGTCCAGCCTCTGGAACCACTGAGGGTAGAGTTGTCTGACAATCAGGTATTTCTCCAACATCTCCTGAGCCATGGGGAGGCAGAACTTCTTGGTGCGCAGGAATCTCAACAGAAATGCTGAATCTGAAAGTTATATAGGAGATTTAGCCTATATGATACCTAGACGAAGATGAGTGAAGGAGAGTTGAATGGAGGAGATGACAGCTGTGTGTTACTGACTAAGATCAGCTGGTCCTTTTGTCAGGATAATGATTAAGAAAAGCTATAAATTCAGTTTCAAACCATCAAAAGCTACAGTCTTTTCCAGGATTGAACCAGAAACCTTCTGATTACCAAGTGGGCACTATATTGACCATCCAGCTATAGAATATCAAACACTAACAAGGGAACCTGTGTGCAAATTGCACTAGTTACAGGAGGGTTCAAAACTCAACATTCTCTTACAATATAAATCAATTTTATAATAGATACTGTATAATTTAATCTAAATGTAACAAATATTCTATAAAACAGGTTGCAAATGTACCTGCCCACCATCACACCTCAAAGAACTGACACACCACGCTAAAAGAATCGGAAAAAGTTGCACATTAAAAAAATCCCCATCTGTTAGTCGTCTTTAGATTTACTTTTAGCAGATCAAATTCACCTCTAAATATTTCTTCCACACCCTACTTGGAGTTTTTATCTTACCTTTCCTACAGCACTGTATCTCTGGGTGCATGTCTATCCAGCTCCTCATTTGGGTGATGGCGTGAGATCGTGTAGCTTCATCCTCTCGTAACTCCTGTTGTGCGAGTGTTTGCATCTCAGAACTCAGGGTACACTGGTAGGTGTCTTCTTCTCCATTTTCATAACCACACCCCATCTATCAACAGAGATATTTAGATTAGCCCAGTCAATAAAGATATAAATAAGGCAGATGTAATTTGGGAAAGCTGGATTTTTCTATGCTGAGACCATGTTGAGGTGAGTATTTTCCCAAAAGTCCCCACTCCTCCCCATAGTGCTTTCCTCTCACCCCCCCCCTTTTTAGATAGATTTACAGTCTCTTAGAAAATTTGCTATAACTCAAAAACGGGTAAGGATAACAATGCGATATTTTGTTAACCCTTTTTGCGATAGGATCATCATAAAAAATGATTTTTTACGGATTAATTTTATGAATCTTTTCCTTGTAGATTTTTATATGATTTAGTAGGCTACATGTTAACACCTCTTAAAAAACAGCAATGTCGCGGTTTTTTATTGGAGCGAGTCATGTTCATTTTTCATGTAAACCACTGCCGCATCGTGGGAGGACGCTGGGGAGGGAATAGGGAGGCGACCAGCTAATGGCACAGTGACGCAACTCTCCCGCCAAAACCGGTTGTGGTTAAGCAACTTGCAACTAGATCGCGCCTGCGTGTCGGTGACGAAACTGCCGCAGACGCTTGACCTCGGCCTCGGCCAGGGGTAACGATCCATCGGCTGCAGGATATTTATTATAAAAGTGGTGCTAATTTTGGTTTTTGTTTACGGATCAAAGAATAATACTTGATGTCCAAATACATCAATAGTATGTCAACTAATTGATCCCACCATAGATTAAACACAAAACACGTTCCTTTATAGGTTTACAATACTGTCGACTTTAAATGTAGGCCCTACCGGTATGCTTCCAATTGGAATAGGTATATTATCTGTGATACTTTATGTTTGTAGAATGTGGAGTACCTTGGTAGCAGCAGCTTGTAGGCTTCATGAACAAAATTGATGCGTTTGAATCAAAGAGTAACTGATCCATGCCTAATATGCCTATTATAAATTACTACACAACTAGTCCAAATTTCGTCTACAAAGGGTTCTCACATAGCCTGATTAATATAATAGAAATTTTCTTATAATAATGGTTAGGGAAAGTTGGCGGGAAACGAACCAAATTCATGACTCAGAAAGCAAAACACTTCCTGTATATGGAAAGTGCTTTCATCTCAACTCACCGACCGCGACCAGTTGTGGTTTGATCACGTGATTGTGTGTTTTTTTATAAAAATATATGACTTACTGGGCCTTCCATCAAAATATAGTACTGCAAAATATCACACAACATGACAAAACATAATATGGCATGTTTAATATACGACCAAATCTTCAGAAAATACAGTAAGGATAAAAGGTAAAACTATAGCAATATCGCCTGAATTACGCGATTTCTGTGTTCTGTAACAACTTTGATCTAAACTTGTGTAAATGGCTTCTTTAGGGCAACTGCTACATTTACTTACTTTTGCCGAACTCGTTTTACTTTTGCCGCACTCCAGTATTCCAACTAAACAACACTAAACGGCGTGCTTTTATTAGGCACGTTATTCATGTACGCTTGAAAATAAGCTGGCAATACTTAAAGATATTACGATCAGCTGGTGCAATGTTTCCCAGTTTCCCATTTCGTTCAACGCTTGAATTTAAACTAACCTAAAAACATGGTGTATAGTGTTTGAAAGACTGATTATATTCTTTATAGTAACTGTAGAAAAAATATAATGTGTAACACGAGCGCAAAGTTCCTTTGGTGCACTCGCCTCAAACTTTCCACACTCGCCTGTGGCTCGTGCGTAAACATTTCTCTGGTGTGCAGCAAAGCGCCACTTCGCACACCATAGTTACACAGATGACTATGTCACTCTGTTTCAACAAAGTGTAAGTTTGTTAATATAGTCAAAATCGTCGTAGATTTGTAGCATATACTATACGTCTTTACTTCACAATGGATCATTGTGACTTTGACTAACTAATGTACAGAGAAATCGCGATCAATGACTACACAGTTACCATCGTTATGAAAAGAACAAATTTCACGGGATGACCATCTGTATACGGTGAAAGTAATCTTGTTATCTCGAACCATGGACTTTCCCGTATTTCTGACTCGTCACGTGGGTTCTGAAACAGTTGTTTGGGATAAGGAAGCATGACTTTAAATAGTGCAAGTAGACTTCTCATTCCTCATCCTATCGTAAAATCTGCTGCAGTCTTGTATGTGTGTTTTTATTGTTTTATGCTGATGACATTTGAATGCACTGCTGTCAAAGTGTCAAATGAATATTTCCTATATTTTGGGGTCGATTTTATCAGTTGTAATTTACTCTTTGCTTATGATAATTGAGGACAGTTTTTTTATTTAGTGATTTATCTAGCCAAACCCTTTTTATCCTTAAAGATGATACATCTATTATAAGAGAGTGAGAGTATGTTTAAAGCTGCAGCCAGTTTTAGAAAAAAAAATAATGCGCAGTAGTTTTTATTCTAACAAATCCTTCGATAGAGCCTACACAAATGTAGAGCACGGTACTCATCTGAGGTACACATTTTATTCAGAAATTCTTAAAAATAGTTTTAAAGTGATAAAACGTTGCTAAAAATGGTGTACGAATGCGTAATTCTGATGTCAGTTTGACTTTGGAATGCCCAGAAGAGCTTGTTGGTATTGCAAGAACCAACATTGCCTTAGCCTTGGCCTCGGGCTAGCGAATCAACAAAAGCCTCTCTGAAAACGTGATTGCTACGACCATCGCATCCAGCGGAAGTCTTTTGACAGTTTCAGTTAAGGTGCTAAAGGCAAAGAATGTTAAAAGAGCCATTGGGCTTGACAAATTGCAAAAAAAGTCAAAGTGACACAAGTACGATTAAAAGTTGAAAGTATAGTTTAGTAGAGCCTTGGTAAAAAAGATTCTCATATGTATTATACAAGACTTGTAAAAAGGTTGACTTTTTATCGAGGTTTGCAATATGTGATTAGGGGTAAAACAATTTCAAGGTGATTTTAAAATACCCTTGTTATAAAGGGTAACTTGTTATCGAGATTCTAACTTTATTGGTCGATTTAGTTTATGCTTGTAAAAAGCGCCTAAAACGTGGAAATAGAATTTGGATGAGCTGATAGTGAAATTGAAATATTTAATTTTTAGTAGGTATTTCTTATTTATTTGTGTGTAGCCCTACATGGATATGGAATGTCTCATCCTATGCATAATAAAACGTTTTGATCTTGGCACAGTAACTCATAGCTTCCGGCGGCCGAGGGCACGTGACCGTGATCGGAAGCGCTCTTTGCCATTTTAGTGGTCTATGACTTCAATGACATTCAAGTTAGTATTGTTAGTATGCAGTGTAAGGTTTGTTATTGGCTCCGTCAGAAGCGAAGATCGCCTGATTGGAAAACACGTCAAGCCAAGGCGGAAGATGAATTATACATTCATATATTTTTGCAGGTTTTATTTAGAAGATGGTCCTAAATGGCCGAGAAAATATTAACTCTTAATTGTGATTAAATTTTATAATACCTACAAATCAAAGTTTCTTATGCATTAAAAATTGTAAAATAAATTTCTAGGGATTGTAAATTAGGACTAAAGTACTGGAGGCCTAGAATAAAACATGTAATAACCACCATGTGTATAACCATATGTATATATACAACCATATATGTTATATAAACAAACATTAAATAGATATCTCAGGAGAGGGGAAATATATCTGCGTTGAAGGAATCTCTCTTTTAAAGTGCTCGCCTAGTAACTAAATATTTTGATATACACAATAGGTAAAATCCATGGAAAATTCTTAGTTTTTTTGATTGTATGGCCTATGTGTTAAAGTGGACCCAGCTGTCCTTGATAATTGCGGTTTTAATACATGGTTTTGGCTAAAGAATCACAACTAGGGATGAGTAAGAAAGCCACATTATTTATCTCACACTACAATTCAACACTCATCATTCACTAATATTTAGGATAAAATATACAACATTGTGTCCCTGACCTAATACAATGATCAAATCGACTATATCTATATATATAAAATCCAATGTATGTTTGTATTAGTGTATGTTTGTTTGTTTGTCCTTTATGGACTCCGAAACCGCTGACAGGTTAAGTGTAAGAAAGGGCCACGTGGCCCTAACTTTTGCCTGTATAAATAAATAATATTTCATTTCATATTTCATTTAATTTCAAACCGCTCGACAGATTGTAATGAAACTTTCAGGCATTATTAAGCATTATTCAAGGATGGTTTGTGTGAAGTTTGGTGCAGATCCGTCAAAAGGGCTCCGCCCCAGTGGCTCTGGAGTTTCCCATGTTAACCTTATGAGTACTCATATTAAAATGGAATTAAAGAATCTTAACAGCTGGTTCAACACTAAGCAATTGTATTCTGTGATGTTCAATAGCATTAAAACGTTAATAAGTTTACCAACAGGGTGCAGCACGATTATTTTTTTAAAAATTTATGACAACAGCTGATTTGCAACCAAAAGGTGAGTGAGCGTAGCGTACGAACTTCAACCTGGAGGCGAGTTAGCGTAGCGATCGAGCTAACCTGAAGGCAAGTGAGCGCAGCGAACGAGCTCCAACCTGAAGGTGAGTGAGCATAGCGAACGAACTTCAACCAGGATCTTGAAAATGAACAAGCATTTGACATAAAACCACATTAGGACAGGACGACGTCTGTCGGGCCAGCTAGTAACTTATAAAATTGGATTTCGCGTCGATCAACATTATTCAACGCAAATTTATTCAACAAATTTAATCAACGTAAATTTTACTTTCCAGCAAACAATAGAGGAATCGACTGAAATCCTGGCTTCGGTATTCTGACGCAACTCGAAAATCACAAGGAAACATTGCTTCACTCAGCATTACTATGTTCGATGGCGCAATTGAGGACCAAGGTTCTTTATGAACTTTATAACTGATATAACTTCAATTCACTTGAATTTACATTTAAAGTGTTGTAAAGGTGTTGTGTTGTTGTGTAAATAGTTTTACGCCACTCTACACTATTTTGACTAACTTCCCATGCAAGGTTTTAGTCCAGAAAACAGCT